GTTAGAGCTGCAAGAACAGCAGTTAGATTTTTGAAAGATGCTCTTCCGACTGACTTGTCAGATTTACAAAATGTGGAGGATGTGTTTTGGACTATAAAATGCCCACACACATAGGAGCTAGGAGACACCTTTGGGAGTGGCCCAGTTTACACAAAATCTACAAACACCCATATAATGTGTGTATTATTTGCAGGTAAGTACAGAATAGAATTGAAATTGTCTACTTTTCAGCAGTGTATGTACAGGGGAGTGTGTGTGTGTTGTGTACATTTTAATCTTTTAAAAGAAAACTTTGAGGCCCTTGATAGCAGTCTGCTGAGTAGTCACTAAAGCTGAAGTTTGATGGTTCTTATCCACCCAGAGGTGCCTCGGAAGAAAGGCCTGTTTCATTTGCTTCTGTAAATATTACAGCCAAGAAAACCTAAACCTATGGAACAGTTCAGCTTTGTAACGTGGGCTTGTCAGTCAGAATAGACTCCATGGCAACACACTTGCTTTTGGTTTGAATGAAGGCTTTACTCTTGTCATTTGACCAAAGCGTGTTTTAAGCGTGAAATCTGTGGATTTATTTAAATGACGTTTTAATTCTTTTGCATAATGAATGCATTAACTAAACACATGCCATTTTTTCCCCCTCTTGGGAACATTTTTGTCTGCATATCCTTTAAAAGTTAGAAGAGCTAAATCAGTAATGCCTAGAATAGAAACGGTACATAGTTTAATTTTAAGTCCATAAATTGATAATGATTCCATATTCAGCCATTAAGTGGTCTTCTCTTAAAATTTCAAAAGCAAAAACATAAACAGTAACAGGTATGTTTTCAAAACCAGGCTCCTACTGTTGACTGTCACAGTGAGTTTGTAAGGCAGAAATGAGAGCTCTGTGGAATGCTGTGCTGCTGATCAGATCACAGGTCTCCACAGGTTCAAATCCACCAGCAGCTCCGGAGGAGAGCCTGCTGGAGAGTCACCGAGTTGGAATCCACAGCAGTGAACTGGAGTTTAAAGACAGGGCGGAACTGCCCCGTTGGGTTTCTGAGGCTGTAAATCTAACGGAAGCCGACTGCCCCCGCCTTTCTCCCATGAGCAACTAGTGGATTTGAACCCTCTGTCATTTGGTTATCAGCCCGATATTTAACCCACTACAGCACCAGGGCGCCTAACAGATACTCAGCTGTTTAAGACGCTATTGCGTTATAGACGCTGCTGTTTGTGCTGGCTGAAAACATATACTGAAAACATCATATACTTGATGAATGTCTACCGTGAAACCCGAAGCCTCTCTTCAAATCCCCACCCACCACTTACTTAGGGAGAACATTGAGCAAATCACTTCTGCCTGGAGAGAGGTGCCTGGAGGATTAAACAAGATGCCCTCTATTAAGTGCCTCTCAGGTGCCAGGTGCGGGCTTCCGTTCTTATTACTGAGGCTGCTTTACTAGGAGGCACTGTTAGACACGCAACTCAGCTCCTGATTGTGAAGTTAACTCTGCCTTCTGATACTGCACTTAGTGGTCTTAGTTTTAGCTTTTAACGGAGTAACAGGCATTCCTGATACCATGGTTGTAATGAGCTGTGAGGGCGAGTCTGAATGGTTGAGGGCTCTGCAGGGGTGCAGGCCGTGCTGACCCACAGCCCACCCTGCTCTGGCGGATTGAATCCACAGCGGGAGAACGAGGGGCAGTCCCCGCTCCTGTTAGGACCTACAGTTCAGAAGCCCAGGGAGGATGGGCGTGCGTGATGAAGCCTGTAGCTCCGTGTCTCCGTGTCCTTAGCACTGGGCTGTTAACCAGAATTTAACATTTAGAGCCAGCTGCTCTGTGGGAGAAGGATGAAGCAGTCTGCTGTGGGATTGACTGCGCAGTGGGAGCGAGGAGTCGGGCTTTCTGAGCAGAGTGAGGGCAGCTGAAGCCGGAAAGGCATGCTGGATAACACTCATTTAAAAGTAGTTCAAGTAGTTTAGCCTTCAGAGTTAGTAATCTCTGTGTCTCTTTTGTAATAAACTGACAATATCCAAACTCATTAAAAAAAGTTACAGTGAACAGCTACATTGTAATTATTTTATAACTAAGATCATTTATGGTAAATGGACTGTTTTCTAGGTGGCAGTCTAATTGGCATTGGGTGTAAAATAAGGACTGAAAGTCTGTACAAGTTGAGGTTTTCAGCAGAGTAGTCCTTCCGGATCCCATCGCCTCTGGGTGGGACCTCTGTCTCACAGCCTCCCTTTGTCGTCAGACAGGCAGTTTAAGAACCATTTTTAAAGAGTGCGGTTTGGTCTAAGTGGCCCTGGTGGTGCAGTGTGTTAAGTGTTGGGCTGCTAATCAGAAGGCTGTTCAAACACACCTGTGGCTCTGAGGGAGCAAGAGAAGGAAGGCCCTTCTCCTGTTGAGAGTACTGGCAGACGTGGAGACACTTGAGGACAGTGGGTTGGGTTTGAATTTGGGCTTTCAAGGGTGAGAAAGATCCGAGGAACAGACTGAAGCCCCCTCCTTTCACTGCCACAGGGGGGCCTGGGCTGCGGTGGGAGGGCCCTCAGCCAGTGCCTCCCTTTTCCCAGAAACTCCTAGTCCCCTGCGGTGAGTGCTTTCAGGGGTGTGACCCGGGAATTGCTTTACTGTTCATGGGTTTTCCTCTCAAGACATAGGCCTCTCTGTTTATTCCAGCGAGCTTGGAGTTGAGAGGGGTCAGGGATCCATTTTTACACCCCGTAAACTCACCTTTTATCCTGTAACTGTTCCATTAGTCATCTGAGCTCTTTGTACTTCCTACTCTTTACCTCTGCATCACCATGTAGCTCTACCTTAAAACTGCAGTGCAGGTTTCCCAGAAAGGAGCAGTTCCCCATCATCGAGGAGATGAATCCCACTCCCAGGCACACGTCAGCCGAGGGAGTGCCTCTTCCAGTATCTCAGGTGGGACTTGAACAGGAAGATTAGCTGGGAGAATGGCAGTGGGTCAGCATTTGGCTCCGCGTGCTTTGTCCCCTCTCTGCCTGATGTTGCAGGGGGTGTTTCAGCTGTGAGACTCTGGAACTGTCCGAGGAGCCTCTGTGCAGGAGCTGGGCGTGGCATGCGGTTAGGTGGGCAGGCTCGCCTCTGACTGCATCTTTGGCTGACCCACATGTCCACATCCCCAGGTGGAGGACACTGGATGGTCCTGGAAGTAAATCTGCCTCAGATTTGAAGTCTGTTGCAGTTAATGTCTTCACCTTTAACTGTTCTAGAAACTTCACACAGAATCTTTTTGAAGCCCATTGTGATAGTGATTTGCTTTCTTAGAAGTTCGTTGGGATGGTCCCTGCTGGTAATAGATTTTCAGATTGAGTTGTGTGTTTTTGTCAGGCTAAGCCACTCTAGTCATCCTTCTTATATATTACTGCACTTACGCATTTATTGATGGCCTACTCTGTACAGTATTCTCAGGCCCTATTTCTCATGTAAACCGCACACCTTCAGGGTCTCTCTTTTGTGTGTGTGTGTGTGTGTGTGTGTGTGTGTGTGTACGTACACCGTCAAATCGGATCTGACTGGTACAGGAGGAAATTGCCCCTCCCTCTCCAGCAAAGCATCTGGTGGATTTGAACCACGGGCCTCTGGGATTGCAGTGAAGCTTCTTGCCACTAGGCCATCAGAGTTCCCTCCTTTAAGGTCTCTTATTTGTAAAACTAGTGTATATTTAATATTTAAAAATTAATATTTTTACTGCATTTTATTGATTTGTCCCCAAGGTCTGGATACTTCTAGCTAGTAAGTTGTTAGTTGTTGCTTTGATGACGCGTCACGATGAGGCTGCGTGTACAATGCAGAATGGCTGTGTGTGTGCGCGCGCGCTCGCACGCAGACGCACAGATGACGTTTAGTGAGGGTGGTCTAGGTAAGTGGAAAATCCACTGTTACAGTGACAATGGCCACTCCCTCTGTAGAGCTTTTAGCTGTGGCCTCTCAGAAGTAGACTGCTAGCCCTGTCTTATGAAGTACCTCTAAGTTCAAACCCCTAACCTTTTAGTGCTGTTATGTGCTGTGGTCCAGTGAAACCAACCCATAGCTGACCGTCCAGTGAGTTTGCAGAGGCTGTAAATAGCACAGGAGAAGATTGCCCATCTTCTCCCCCTGCGGAGCAGCTGCTAGATTTGAACCACGTGTCTTGAATTCAGCTCTTTACCACAGTCAAGGCCTCGCTTGACCATTTGAACCACATGGGGACTTCTGTATGTAGCAGTTACAGCCTCCTCCCCGGATTAAAAAAAAAAATAACCAACAAAGCCAAAATCCCAGTGTTGCCGGCGTTGATTCTGACTCCTCTGGACCCTGTATGACAGGACAGAACTGCCATGGGGTTTGCACGCGTGTAAGTCTCTCTGGAGCAGGCCACCTCCCACAGAGCAGGGGCACGGTGCAACCACTGGGCTGCCTGGCCCTGCTGGCACCAGGCGTCACAGGTGCCAGAGCCCTCTGGTGTTTCTGTGAACAGCAGTTCACCAGGGAAAAGGAGAGGATACAAAGTTCTTCTTTTGGCACTTTTTGCATCCTTACTTACTTAACTATGGAGAAATAAATCGCCAGTAGCTTAAGATTTACTTATCACATGTGCTTTTTAGCTTTTAATTGTAGATTTCATTAACATTGAAATGTGTGGGTTTTTAAAATGCAAGTAAAAAGGTTTTCTTTAAAATTTCTCCTAATGGAAAAATGAAGACAGAAATAGGAATATAATTATTTATTGATTTGAATCTTGTTAGTTTCTACACGACAGGGTAGGAGGAACACATAAGGTACCTTGTTTGTTTGTTTATTTTAATATAGTTTCTTGAAACACCAACACCCAGAATGCTAAGCCCAGACCTCTGGGTTGATTCTGCTGGATAGCGGCTGTGTTGGACAAAGTAGCACTTCCCACAGGCTTTCCAGGGCCGCCTGCAGTTCTTACAGTAGCCGATGGTCTCATCATTCTCCCAAGGAGCAGGGTGGGTTTGAACTAGCAACCTTTCAGTTGCCCCTATGCCACCAGGGCTCGTCGTCGTGTCGTGAGCAGGAGACCATCCCGGGTAGAACCATGGAAGGTTTTCTTTCAGTAGACTCCTGCTTATTTTCTAGCGTCATGGCAAAGATTAAAAGAAGTTGATCAGCCAAATGTATAAAATTTGAAATTCCGAAGTAAACAGTAACTTTCAAAAATTCTGGTCACATCCATCAGGCTGCGAGCAAATACAGTGTCCATTCTTTGTGCGGGGAAGGCTGTTAACTCTGCCTAGTGCTGCTGTTGACTTTGGCCTCTGGAATTGACTTATGCTGTGTGTTTAAGAGAAGAGTAAATAATGGGGTGAATGGCTGTTTTTCTGTTTCATTGTCCAGTTTTTTAAAAAAGTCAATATTTAATCAGGGAGGCTGTGCACTTATTTCACATTTGAAACTTTTCTTGGAGAGGTTTGTAGCAAATCTTGTTCGTTGGAATTGAAGTGAAAAGTATTTGGTAATAGCAGATCCTGCCGTGATCTTCAGGTGTTCTAGGGTGAGCCTTTTGCACCTGACTTGCTACTACTGCTTTGTAGCAAGTTGTGATTGGTAGTAAAGTTCCGTCTCTGTCAGATTATGTCTGTTTCTTGAAGTCCTTCACAGTTAGGTCTTTCCGAAGATGATGCTTCAGCTGAAGACCTTTCTCATCTCTGTCAAGTTGGAACCAACTCACAGCTGACTCTCCAGAGGCTGTAAATCACACAAGAGGAAAGAAATGTTAGGACCCCTGAGGGCTGGGAAGGGAACTCTAGTGGCCTTGTCCTTGGGGTGCTGTGGGGTGCTGCTCCCCAAAGGGGCTGCCTCTCCAGCAGTGCTCTGCAGGAGAAAGGTGGTCTTTTCCCTTGACAGTTGAGAACCTTGGGTGGGGGGGGGAGTTGCTGCAAGTAGGCACTTAATTAAAAATAGCAAGGGGAGCTCTGGTGGTCTAGTGGCAAGAAGCTGCACTGCAATCGCGGAGGCATGTGGTTCAAATCCACCAGATGCGCTGCTGGACAAGGAGGGGCAATCTCCTCCTGTGCCTGTCAGATCTGATTTGATGGTACACGTACACACACCCCAGAAAGAAAAAAAAAGAGCCATGAGGCGAGCCCTGGTGGTCCAGTGCTTAAAACACCTGCTGCCAGCCAGGTTAATTCCTCCAGCATCAGAAAGATGTGATGTGGAAGTCTGCTGCTGAGGGCTTTTCCCCTGCTGCTGATTCTGAGGGATTTTATTTATATATTTTTTTTTTATTTAGGGGTTGTTTGGGTTTTTTTTTTGTTTTTTTAGGGATTTTATTTTAAAAACCAGGAAAATAAATGGAAAAGTCATCTTGTTGTTAGCAAGTTTGATCCTTTGAGGAAGTAGTGAAAGAACAACGGGTGCAGGCATGAGGGATGATGGGGACTTGGGGTGCAGAGTTGAGGTCTTAGGGTGAACCCAGTCACTGCTTGGGTTTTGGGATGTTGAGCCAGAACAGGGGGAGGGGGACTCTTGGGCCCAGCTGGTGGAAGGGCAGCGGTGTGGAGGTGATGTTAGAGGAGATGCGCTGATTGGGCCAGGTTTGGGTGCCACTACCCAATGCCTGCTACTGGTTAGGGATTGTGGAGATGGAAACCTGCCCACACGGGCAGCAGGAGCTGTGGATGTTTACGACACTTACAGTTTTAGAATAAGGTTCTCTGATCATGGCCCTTTGGTGCCCCCTTCTCCCTCAGCTGCCATGGGCAAGCACCTAGTTCCATCTTGTACCATCTCCCAACTTCCCGCCTCTGTCCAGACCACTGCTTCCTGGTTCCAGCCTTCAGCCTCCACTTTCCACCCTGCAGTCCAGCCTCTTCTAAAAATGCAGACCTCACGGTTCCTTGTTATTAGGAGATTAACAAGTCCTCTCCCGTGGTCTAGTGGCAAGAAGCTGCACTGCAATCCCAGAGATACACAGTTCGAATCCACCAGATGCTCTGCTGGAAAAGGAGGGGCATTCTCCTCCTGTACCAGTCAGATCTGATTTGACGGCGCACACACACACACACACACACACAAAATAAAAAAAACAACACAACAACACAAGTCCTCTCCCTAAGTCCTCCTGGCTCTGATGGGGAGAGATGGTCCCTCCTCACATTTCCCCTGTCCTTATGGTTGGTTTTCAGTTACACTGAGCTTCCCAAACGCAGCTGCCTTTGCCTAGAATGTTCCTCCTCCTGACCCCACTTAGCCTCAACAGCACTGTGGTCCCCGACTGCCCAGGCACGGGGCTGATACTGCTGTACCATCCCGGTCATCTTTAATAACACCAAGCGTCTCCTCCTTAATGTGGTGATTCCATAATGACTCGTCCTGTTTTCATCTGATAATTGAATAAACTCAGTGCGCTCATTGCAGTGTCTCAGCACTAGTACCCTCCTAGCACGGCACATGGTTTGCTGGCGTGCAATGAATTGGAATCAGTGTTCTCCATAGTCTTTGGGCAGAATTGACATAAGGAACTTGAAACTGGCCAGTGAATCACGGCCAGTGAGTGTGACAGAGTTGCCAGTGGGTCCCACATCCAGGCCTGTGGCTCCAGAACTTAGCTCCTGCTAATACCGGTTGATTCGACATTCACAGCTTTTAGCAAGATGTATGGATGCCCAGTGAGTCATTTCTGGTTGGAAATTGCCGCCTAACTGATGATGTAATGTTTGATCTGAGGTCTTTGGGATGGGCCATTTCGGCTCTGGTTAAACCCTTCAGAATGTGAGGAGAGAAACAAGTCTTAGCGTGACTGGATGGGCCTGTAGGCTCTTGTCGAGAGGTTCTCACCTTTATAAAAGAGTGAAGGAGAAGAACTCACTTTCTTCACGTTGACTGTGCTATTGTATGTGTTGTACATGGAACAGCCCCACATCACATACGACAGCAGACAGGGTGGACCGACCTGAGGGGCTTACATGGTTCGCAAAACCCCAACCATATAGCGTATGTGTGTTAGGTATGTAACAACGATCTCAGCTGTGAGCAAATATGTATCTAGATAGACTGGAAAGATTCCTGATCAAGACAGAGTAATGGTGGGCAAAGTTCAATGGTGATTAATTTCATAAAACAGAATGAGTGAGAATGAGTGTATTGACCACAGAGTGAATGTAGTATAGTGTGAAACACAGTGGATATGAACTTTCTAAGCAAATAAATATGTAAGTAAAAAAAGAATTTGCGTAGCATAGGTATTTAAGGATTAAACTGTAGTGTTAAGGAAAAGGGGGTGAATGTGGTTTTCGTTAACTCCGAATACATAGTGAATATTGATTTCTCTAGCAGTTACTTTAAAAGACTAGAGAAAGCTAAGACTCTGTCCTGACTGGAGAGGTGCAGTGTTTCTGTTGACTGAGCCGCTTACGCCTCTCTCCCTTTCATCCTCAGAGCCGTCGGTAAGACGTGTCTGCTCATCAGCTACACGACCAATGCCTTTCCTGGAGAGTACATCCCCACCGTGTGAGTACCACGCCAGCCGCCCTCCTGCCTTCCTCCAGCCCCGCTCACTGGAAAGCTGGCAGGTCACATGCTGTTTCCCCCCACCCCTTCCTTTTTTATTAAACTGCGAAAGACCGTCTAGTATCAAGTTTGCTCTTACTGGTGGAATGGGCCTCGATTTCCTAATTGATTCTCAGTCGTAGGAGGAAGAACAAAAGAGGACATTGGACCCAGTTCTCGAGAACAGAGGTGGAGAAGTAGACCTTTCAGGTTATTTAGGTCCCTGGGCTCTTTCTGACAGAGCAACGAACTGGACCAGGAAGCGTTCCTTTATGCTTTCCTTTCCGGGGTTCTGGGGTTGAAACCAAGGTGTGGGGGCTGGTGTGGGGAGGGTGGACTGGCCTACTGCCTTGTGAGTGGCTTATTCCCAACAGGCAGCTGAGTCGGTGGAGAGACTCTGATGATGGGGTGACCAGGGAGCCCCAGGACCCTCATGCACTGGGCCTCGCCCCCCCCCCAGCAGTGGAGGCAGGGCTGTTCTAACTTGCTTTCTTGCACACGCATGCTCTGAAGTGTCGTGCACACGTTTTTAAGATACTCGTAGGAGCGTGTCTTGTCCGTGTTCTGAATATATTGCAGGCGACTTTGCGTAGGTAGTAAGAGCTAAACCGTTGACAGTCGTCAGTGATTGCCAAGTCCCGCACCCTTCAACCGCTGGGCACTTCGGCAATGTTTTCTCTTTTCACCTCTTTTTAAAATAAAATTTAATTTTATTTGTGATTTGAACGAATGTTTACAGAGAAGGTAGATTTTCATTCATTTATTGTTGTATATTTTGCTCCCTGTCCCTCACCCAGTTCACTTTTTTAAAATATTCATTCATTGTTACACAGATACACTCCTCCGCGCCCCTCCAAGTCCTCTTACCAGTGATCTGCCTCCTGTCCTAGGCCGCTGGTGTACCTATGATGTCTAATCATGTATTCCTTTAGACACTCCTTTCTGTCCTCTCCTTTTACCTCCTTCAAAACCCTGCTGTGTTAAGCCACATGGTAGTTTTTTTTTTTCTGCAGGATAGAAGAAGTGTGCCAGACCCAGAGGGAATGTATGTTTTAAATTTGGAAAGGTTTTTTTACCTATTTGTTCTTCTGAAGACAATACCTGTCACCCTCAGTACACAGGGAGTTGACTTGGGTGAGACAGGTCATCTTGTTATTGTCATTTGCTTTTCTGATCCTTAATTGAGATCGGATTGCATTCACAGCCTCATGACCCGCCTGGAGGTCTTCTCTAATTTGTATTAAAAGTTCTTTCTGCTGATGGAACTTTTTAAATGTAGGAAATAGTAATCCCTTCTGCCTTGTTTGATGTTGACATCTTTTTCCCCTCCCAGAAGTTGAAAATGTGTGTGTCCATATATGCCCCCTTTCTACCTCCTTTTTGAGGTGGGTTTTTATATCTTACTTGGAAAAGACATTTCCTGCTGCAATGATGATAAAACACCTTGTCTTTTCCCCTGAGTTTATCACAGCAAAAGTTTTTCTTTTTAACTCATTCAGAATGCAGTTTTGATCCAGTAGGAGGCAGGTGGGTCCCTGGAGGCACAGTGATGAACTGCTGACCCACTGGCTGCTCCGAGGGAGAAAGGCCTGGTGATCCCCTTGCTTCAAGACAATGCCTGGAGACCTAGGGCTGTCATACTCTTTCTCCTGGGGTGTTAGGCAGTGGAACTGACTCAGCAGCAAAGAATTTGATGTGTCAAATACCTGACTTTTCCAGATGAAAAATAGTCATTCCACTACTATTTCTTGCATAATCTGGGATTTGTGTGTTCCCTCCTAAGAGCAGAGTTACCACATTTATCAGCCCTTTCCTTTGTGAAAGCTAGGAAGTAATCTATTCCTAAATCTCTGACCCACATCAGAGCCTTTTCTCACATTTTGACCTTGACATTGGAGTGATGCTCTGGTTTGGCCTTTAATATACCGTGGCTGCTACTCTGTTGAACACTTCCCCTGGTCTGGGCTACAGTACTGTGTTCTGATTTTTCCCCCCAGTGAGTTGTGTCTGTGATAGTTAAACATATTCTAGCTGCAGTTTTACCTTGTCAGCCTTATTTTTTTCTCTGCAGTCAATAGGCTTTTTTGGCTGCCTTTTCCTGAGCTGTGCGCACATCAAGTTCATTTGCAAAATGACGTAATCTCAGACACTCACTTGACCACTTGATAGGGAAGCTTCTGGACTGGCGTTTGTGTTTTTTAACCTGCATTCTTGTGACAGGCCCAGCGGACCAGAGCATTCTGCTCCCTCCACCCCCGCGTGAAGGCGTCTGCAGGTGCAGCGGAGGGCACCTGTGGCGGGGTTGCTGTTAGGTTGAAAATAGAAGAAGTGCGAGCTCAGCACGAGCCACTTGTGATAGGACTAATTTTATACTGTTCTTCCTGGAGAGAAACACCTTGGAGACTCTGTATTCCTGACCATGATTTGCTTCCACTACCTGTCACTGTAGTAGCACGTTGGTGGTGCCTCCCTGTGTTTGTCCCCCCTACTTCCCTCCCCGCCCCCTGCTCAGGACACTGAGTGACTGCAGGGCGGCCCAGCCCTCGTCACCCTCCAGCACTAACCACTCTGCCCTTCCACAGCTTTGACAACTACTCTGCCAATGTTATGGTCGATGGAAAACCCGTGAACCTGGGCTTATGGGACACAGCTGGACAAGAAGACTACGACCGATTGCGCCCCCTCTCCTACCCGCAAACAGTAAGGCTGACAGCTGACCTGTCGGGGCCCTTGCGAGTGTGCAGTGGAGGGACGGGAACTGCCTGTCACTGTTGGCTTTGCCTCTGCTGCCGTCATGAGGGCTGTCAAGTGATGGCGAATCTGGCTCTGTCGGTTCCCTTCCTAACACGTTACGAGGTGCAGAGCAGGCTTTGTTTTGGGTTGGGCACGACAGGCGCTGGACACACGCTTTGTCCATTTAGGTTCACGAGAGCTAGCACTGCTTTGGCTTTTTTTGCTTTTTTCTTAAATTATGATTTGAGTGAAAGCTTACACAGCAAAATGGTATTCCAGTCCCTCATTCATACACATCTTGTTTTATTTATTATTAGTGTTTTTATTTTTTGCAGATCAGCTTTTAAAAGCTGTTGGTTTAGATTTAGGGTTTTTCAGTCAATTTATTAACTAAGAGGCGGTGCTAATGGGGCTGGTGAAGAATTGCTTTTACAGCTTGGTAGTTAGAGTGGAGCTGAGTCCTCAGCTGTGGAGCATCTACATTCCATTTCTGTGGCTTTTGAAGGTACATTTTTTCAGTGTAGACTGAGGCTTCAGTTTTGTAAGGTGAATCTGCTGTGTTCTGTCAAGACAGACATTGGCCTAGTGGCAAGAAGCTGCACTGCAATCCCAGATATGCCTGGTTCGAATCCACCAGATGCTCTGCGGGGGAAGGAGGGACAATCTCCTCCTGTACCAGTCAAACCTGATTTGACGGTACATGCACAAAAAAAATAATTAAAAAAAAAGGACAGACTTAAGGCTGCTGTTGCGTCTCTGTCAGAAGCCACAGAGGACGGCCTGCCTGCAGCCAGCCCGGCAGAGTGGTTACAGTAGCGTTTGCACAGGATGGTCCTGACCACAGACCACCTTTCTTTAAAGAGCAAGCGATACATTTTCTTTTACATTTGCCTTTGCTCATGTTTTAATAAGTATTTTAAAACCGCTTTGCAGACAGATTAGCACCACGGTTGACATAGGGATGCATGGGCAGCCTTGGCGCACATTCCTTGACCTCACAGCCTGCTCGCCCTCTCTGGCTGTGTGATCTTTGATGGGCTTCCTTCTCCTAGACTTCACCTGTCTCCTTGCGGACCAGATGCTTTGATACAGATAGAGCAAGAAAAACAATACAAGGCCTTGAACCTTGAACTCTGCTGGTTTTCGGTTTCTAGCCCAGACCTGTTGCCATCAGATCCATTCCAGCTCATGGCGACAGGGTGGAGCGGCTCCGACAAGGTGGAGCTGTGGAGAGGCTCTGTGGAGTTTCCGGGCTGTAGTCCTAACGGAAGCAGAGTGCCTGGCCTTTCTTACACAGTACTACTGCCAGATGGGTTCAGACCACAGCCTTGAGCGGATGAGCCGAAACCATATGGATCTTTTAGGGACCTGAGCGTCTAGCCAGACACTGAATTCTTTCCCCTTTCAAGAACAGCATGGTGAAGCTGTCTGAGTGACTTTTCCCACTTGTTAACAAGATTTCTGGTGGGACGGAGGGTTAAGTGTTGGTGGTCTGAACTCACCTGTTGGGCTGCATTACACTCCATTAAGATTAGCAACCTGGGAATCAGGAAAGGCAGTCCAATCTGTCCTGCAGGGTCCCTGAGTAGGCATTGACAGTAGTGTTTTGGCTGCGTTGGCCTGGCTTTTCTTATTTCGCCATAAGGTGAGGCATGATTTGGGAAGCACCTCCTTCATTTCAGCCGGGAGGTCTCTGCCCCGAAGCTTCCAGTTGTAATGGTTGTCCTGCTCCTTCTGGGATTGGAAGTGCTGCAGGATCTTTCTCTCCTCTGTTCTTCACCTGTGAAAACAGAGCAAGAGAGTTTGCTAGACTTCCAGACTCCACTACTCCTCAGAGAAGCAAACCAGAGTGGGCATCAGGGCCCTGTGGCATGGGATGGAGCCTAAACCCCATCTTAGAAACCCAGAGGAAGCCTCTTCTGAGACCTGACAGGAGACTGTAGGTGAGGGTTTGTGGGATTGGATCAGCAGCCATGCTGGGCACTGGGGACTTCAGTAAGACCTTTACTGCGGCTGGAGCTGATAAATGCACAGGAGAAAGGTTTCAAGTTGTAGCTGTCATTTCACAGCCCCATTTAACACCCAGGAGGCCAGCAGGACAGCCTGCTGTAGAATTTGGCAAGTTAATTTGCAAATACACTCCCAGTAGAAGGTAAAACTAGTCAGTCATCTCAGTAGACCTCAAAGGGTGTGGTGTCACTTCTGAGGAAGGACTTTGCCCCACTCCTGTGACTCAGGGGTGTGCAGGGTGGGGCGCAGTCTCCTGAGGGAGTCACAGTCAAAGGTGAGTTGGCTGGAAGCCCACCCTGCTGCCAGATACGGGCTTCTCACACTGCTCAGAGTAGGTGCAGGCTCTCCTGTAGGTGGGACCTGTTTTGCTCTAAGGTGCTTAAATAGCCAGTCAGGTAAGACATGATCCCATCCTCAAGCTGCTCACAGAAAACATGCTGACCACTGTAAGATGGGTATGGGCACACCAGCGCAGGCCGGGCTGCTGTGCCCTGGGAGGTGGCAGGTCCACGGCTGGAAGCTAGGCAGGAGCCAGGCAGAGCCAGTTCTTCTGGCACCACTTCGAATGGGAAACACCCAGGCGCACCCTCCCACCACCGACATGCAGGGCTAAGAGCACGGGCCTCCTTCACCTGAGCCCTCCCTCACCTGAGCCGCGAACCCTCCTTCACCTGAGCCCCCCTTCACCTGAGCCACGAGCCCCCTTCACCCGAGCCCTCCTTCACCCATGCCTCCACCATAGGCTTCAGAGTCTAGTCTGTGGACCGGTCTGCAGCTCAGCTGTGACTCAGGGAGAAGGTGCCTTAACTGAGGCTTCTACAAGAGACCTTCCACTTCCCCTGGTTACTTAACGCAGGCAGGAGGCGCCCTTGTGGGTCGGCTAGTTCTGTGCAGCTGCCTTCAGTCTGTTTAAACCATTAGTCTGTACTCTGCTCACTGCAAGATGGTGAGCACGTAACCATCATTTTCAGCATGAATTGCCCTTTAAGGTTTTAATTTCCTAATTAAATCTAGGACTTCTCCTGTCCTTTGTTGTGTGCATTTGGGTCTGAACTGACCCTTAGCTGGTTTTCAGAGGCAGTAGATCTCATGGGAGGAGACAGCCTATCCTCCCACAGAGCAGCTGCTGGATTCAAACTGTGTGCCTTTAGGATTGAGCGCAGGTACCTACTACTAAGACATCTTAGTAAGTTAAAATTGTTGTAACTAATGAGTGAAATTCCTTGCAAAAAGACAAATGCTGTGTGCCCTAAGGGGTGTGAGGTTGAGAGTTGATGTCTGGTGCCCAGGAGACGGAGGGAGGGGGTAGTTTGGATTGAGGGCTGTCGGGCATTTGCCGATAGCAATGAAATGCTCAGGGAAGGCTTCGGGGAACGAAGCCAAGACAGATGAACGCCAAGCCCAGCAGGACAAGTGCGTCATTGAGTCTACGGGCGGACGTTGCTGCATGGGTGTTTGTTCACCGATTGAGAATGACGTGAGGCTGGGCAAGACCGAGCAGGGTTGTGTGTGGTTGGAGGGGGTTGTGGTGAATCAGGGCCGACTCCTGTACCTCACAACGACAGAAATGACGTGAGCACGCTGCCTGAGTTCTCAGGACTTGTGGCTTGGTGAGTGCAACTTGGTGCTCACACCAGCATGGGGAGCACACCAGACCCTGCGTGTAGCACTGAGGTCTGTCTCGGGGTGTCCAGTTAGTGCTCAGGACCCAGTCATGCATCTCTGATCTCAAGTGTCCATTTAGTGCTGAGGGGCCCGGTTACACTGCTGATTTCTGGGTATCTGAGACCCAAGTGGTCTAGGTGTGTTGCAGACCCAGCCATCTGGAACCCCAGTTGCTGTGCTGAGACTTCCCGACTGGGGAGGTGTGGGGGATGCGTGCTTGACACGGTGACCTGTGAGCATGCTGCGGGCAGCCTTTGTTCCTGTCCAGCCTTGGCCTTTGTTGGGGGGCTGGCCCCAGCTGCTGGTGGTCTGGGAGATGTGTGCTCCGGTGCAGATGCATACACGCTGTGCTCGTCGGCTGAGTCCCGGTGTGCCTTATGCACAGGAGCACACTCTGCAGAAAGTAGGAACGTGCCAGGGCCGCCTGGTGGGGGCTGTGCTCTTGCTGTTCACTAAGCGTGTTCTCCAGGCAGCTCTGCTTTGGTGACCTGGGTTTGGCTTTCTGGTCCTCTCTGTGTCCTGGTCCTGTCCTCTGTCCTCTGTGTGGTCTGCTGAGGGGCGGGAACCAAAACAAAACACAGTCAAGCCACGTGGGAAGCATTTGGAAGAGAACAGAGTAAAAGACAGAGGGTGGTCTAGCTGGTGGGAGCTGTCTGCATGTCTGCTGGATCCCCTCTCCTCTCTGGACTCCCTGCTCACAGGAGAGGTAGCAGTGACCACTGGAGCGAGCGCACTGGTGTGTGGTGATGCATCATGAGAAAGTTGGAGGACTGACCACTTAGAGAGCTCACTGTCATCCCTGGTGGAGGCCAAGGGTAGTGGAGGGACGAGTCCAGAGGAAGGAGTGTCCTATCCTCTGAGGACGAATGTTCAGGAACCCAGCCCAGCAGTCCTCGGAAGTGGTGAGGTCACCATGTCTTCTGAGTGCTCGGTTTAGGCTGGGGAGTTGAGCAGGTCCCCACTGGGTGGAACAGGGCCGCCGGTGGCTGTGTGTGGAGCTGCAGCTGCAGCACAGTCTCTAGATGGTCTCAGGAGTGTGTCGCTCTCCAGAGGAGCATCCCAGGTCCTTGGAAGGAGAGGACTTAGAAATGACGCAGAGAATCAACCCCACAGCTCATCCTCCAGGTCGGAATCCCAGAGGCCTGCGTGGGTGACAGGAAGTCCCCCTCTGCTTTGTCCTTAGAAGCCAAGTTCCGCATCGGCCTGCATGGGCTTGGATGCATGGCAGGGCTGTTGGTTGTGTTGGAGCAGAGGAGGGGGCAGGATCCTAGAGAGGCTATCAGCTCTGTCACGTGGGACTGAGGGCGGCCTCAATAGATAGAACCTGCAAAGGGTCCGGGAAACACGGCTTGGTGGTTGGCAGGGGTGGGGGTGTGTATGTGAGCGTACGTGTGTGGGCATGTGCATGCTTGTGTGCTGGCTGGGCCTGGCATGCTGCCTCCGGGTCCCTGACCACACAGTGGGGCTTCCCTGGCATGCCTGCCTTCTGCGTGAAATCGGAGCATCGTGACGCGCTGCGTGCCGCTAGGGTAGAAGAGGCGTCTTGGTCTTGTCCCTGGGGTTTGCTGGATTTCTCAGCCTTGCTTAATGGTGCAGGGCATCCTGGCTGCTCTGATGGAGGAGTTAGTGGCATCTGGAGATGAGGAGTCCCTGCTAGAGCCGTTGGGAGGGGAGAGCTAAGATCCTGAAGCAGAATAATGCACTGTGTTCTTGTTCTGCGCCTCCCTTTGCACTGAGCTCAAACAAAGTTCTCATGCATTACTAGGTTGGAGACACGTATGGTAAGGATAGCGTCACCAGGGGCAGAGACAAGCCGATTGCCGTATGTAATACCTTCCATGGCCCTCAGACTCCAGCTTTGTCTCTCCTCTCATCTCACTGTTTCCCTGGACAGCCCCCTGCATCTCAGGCCATCGAGCGTGTGGCCTCCCTTGAAGTTGGGGCTGTACTTGGTGAAACACCCTTCCATTAGAGCCTGCTGGTTCACCTGCTGCTTTGAACCAGAGCCCTGAGTGCACTGCCACTTCCCTCTCCCTAAACAGGACTTCAGATCAGCTCAAACCAGGCCATTCCTGACCGATGCAGTAAAATTGGAAGAGACTCCAGTTTGTAAAATGTGGGTGTGCCAGAGTGATGACTAGAAAGGGGGCCTTGGAAGCGGCAGAGCAGGCCCCTCCAGGAGCGGTGCAGGAGGTGACTGCCCGGGGTCTGGGGGCGTGGGGCACTGCTGGTCCCCACCCTGTCGGGCCTAGGTCTGGTTGCTGTGCAGTGTGCTGGTCCTCATTTCTAGGAGTCCTGTAACTACATAACCTTTCCCACTCTGATTACTGTCCGGGCATGTCCACTGTTTTCAAATTGGAGTCTGTTCGGGTTTTGCTTTGTCGACCATGACTGACCCAGGAGGTCCATCGAGGGAGGGCTTGTGCGAAGGCCCCGGGGGACGCGCATGGTGGGCTGGTGCTGGTGCAGCATTAACCTCTCTGCTCAGGGTCTCTTCTGCTGTACTTTTCTGGTGTGGTGATGTGGCACGTGGGGCATGGCTGTGCCAGGCTGGTGAGCTAACCGTGTGCTTGGAAGTGGGTACAATCAGCCGCGTGCCGGGACACCTGGTGATTCTCGGGCCCACTTGTGCATGTACCCTAGTCTACGTGACGTTTGTGAAAGCAGGTGTGGGATCACAGTTGGAGGGTTTATAGGGTTAGCTTAGAACCGTGCATTTCATAAGTAGCACACGGGTGCGCTCTGCCAAGGATACATCTAACCTAAGCCAAGATCTTGGGAACTTGTGGGCATTTTTGTAATGACTTCACACAGAATGAGACGAAACTCTCAAATACTTGACAGTGAGCCAGAGCTCAGCCTCAGGGCCATGTAGCACTGCTTCCCAGGATGCCTTGGGCCGCAGCCCTAGTGCAGGCTGGTCAAGGTGCTGGACCAGGACACCAAGCGTGCCTTCACCAGCCTCCGTCACCTAGGTGTGGCTCAGTGAGGGTTAGGGTGGCAGGGCTGTGTGTGACCCATGACAGCTGTCACGGGAGCACAGTGACACATTTTTGTCTGGACAAGACAGAGGACATGTCCTTAGGAAGCCATTTATTCGTGATTCTCTCAAAACAGACCTGCTTCACCACAGTACCAGAGGGAGACCTTAGTGGAGAGCAGAGAATTAGATGCCCTGTGGGGGGTAGGGTCCGTGGGTGGAGCTGAGGGCAAAGCTCCCTCTAGGACTTGCCCTTGTGCTGGTCCTGGAGGCCGGGGTACATGAGGGGGCAGCATGCATGAGCGGGGGCCTGGGAAGTGCCCACGGCCCTCACTATGGCCCTCAGCACCTCTCTGCTCTCTCTAGGACGTGTTCTTAATCTGCTTTTCCTTGGTGAGCCCTGCATCATTCGAAAATGTCCGCGCAAAGGTAAGTGGGGTTGACTTTGTGGGGTACTTTTTAATTAACACTACTTTAGGCAAGGAACATTAAGTTAAAATGTCACTTACTGTTAGGAATTCTCCATTATTTAGAGGGCTTTTCTGACTTTACTGTTTAGATAATCTGTTCTATTGCCATTTGCCTTCAGATTCTAGACTTCTGAATTTCAGGGGTTCAGAAGCCTGGATTTGTGCTGCTCTCGTAAAGTGATGGCACCTTTCGAGTTGGGCTAATGAAAGCAATGACCGTGTCTTTCTGGCCCTGCATCTTTCACAGACTTCTCAGTGAAAGCCCTCAGTGGGACACCCTTCAGTCTAGTGGTCAGAGAAATTGCTGAGGGGTTGGGAGGGCAGGCTGAGCCTTGCTCCAGGTGTTGAATCTCCTCCCTGAATTGAGCAACCTTAAGATGTTTACTAATTACATCAAGTCAAGCGACTGTTTGGGGGACTTTCCTCCTCTGGTTGTTCTGTCAGACCCCACCCCCCGTTGTGCCCTTACTGACAGACGAGCAGAGCTGGTTCTGTAGGGTGGGTCCTCTGAGATGAACCCACGGGCACCCTTGAAGTTCTGTCAGGTCTGACTGGAAGTGAGCCAGGCCCCAGAACAGGGCACGTCAGCTGCAGGGACAGGTGGCTGATCTAGAAGATGGGTCAGCTTGGATCCCTCTCTGCCCTTAGTGGTACCCTGAGGTGCGACACCATTGTCCCAACACTCCCATCATCCTCGTGGGGACCAAGCTGGATCTGAGGGATGACAAGGACACGATCGAGAAGCTCAAAGAGAAGAAGCTGACCCCCATCACCTACCCGCAGGGCTTGGCAATGGCGAAGGAGATCGGTAGGAAACTCTGCAAGATTCTCGCGGTTCCTTCCACTGTGGGTGGGAAGGGGGGGTGTCCGTCAGGTGGGCAGAGGTGACTGAGACTGTTTGCTGACAGGTGCTGTCAAATACCTCGAGTGCTCAGCACTCACGCAGCGAGGCCTCAAGACAGTGTTCGACGAAGCCATCAGAGCCGTCCTGTGCCCGCCCCCCGTCAAGAAGAGGAAGAGAAAATGCCTACTGCTGTAAACGTCCCAGCCCGCCCGCCCGCCCCGGACCCTTCGTATGCTTTGCTCAAAACAAAACAGTGGAGCCTTCGCACTCAATGCCAAGTTTTTGTTACAGATTAGTTTTTCCATAAAACCATTTTGAACCAATCAGTAATTTCAAAGTACTATTGAATCTAAGAGGTCAGAACTTTCACATTCTATTAAAATTTAGCCCCTAAACTACAAGCCTTATTAAAGCCTTATTTTTCAAAAGCCCCCACCTATTCTAGCTCAGATGAATTGCCAAAATCCCCTGTGAATTAAGTTGCATTGTTGTGCTGCAAACACTAAGCACTAAACTGCTGGGAAGCCCTCTGTCTAAAGACTGTAGCTCCTGATGTCAGGAGAGGCAGCCACTTGCGATTGATCCCAGACGCCTCACAGTCCAGCCTCCTAACAAGACGTTGCCATTAACTGTCCCTAGTTCATCCCGCGCTCACTCGTAACGCTGACCACGGGTCCTGATGGAGCCTGGCGCTCACCCCTCTGTGACTCTGCTTTCGTAGTGACATTTTCCAGACCATTAGTTAGCCTTCCTGGATATCCCCACCAGGAGGCCCCGGCGTCTCCTGCGATGAAGTATTCTGGGTGGGCATGGGCGACACCTGGGTCAACAGAGGCTGAAGACAGTATTTTGACACAATCCCGAGTGGCGGCCGGTTTACACTACATCGAACACACGTCCTGCAGCGGAACGGTGTCACGGGTGGAAGGGGGGCAAGGGCATTCTGTCAGATCCACACAAGGGCACACAGGTCAGTGGTGTCAGAGTTCCAAGACCCCTACGCCCCCTTGGGCCTTTAACCCCTGGCTGACCATTCCTGTAGATGCTAACATAGTGAGTGCTTCCCTTCTAGACCCCCCAATGAGCAATATGTCTCCTTGTATTATAAACTCTCTGATGATGCATTAGCAGTCCGTTCTGCGTAGACGAGTCCAGTGCATTCGTGCCACGTTTCTTTCCTCAACGCTGAAGTGCTTTCTTTCTTTAGTCTCCTAGTAACTAGGTGTCAAGATCCCGTGTTGCCGCTTGACCCTTTTTCTAATCTTTAGACCTCCTTACACCGTGCCCCTCCTCCTCGTCACAGTCCTGCCGGGTGACGATGCTGTAACTGACTAACGACCCTCCGCCTTACCTCGCCCACGTGGACACACCTCCTGCCCCTGCTTCCCCAGGTCCGGGGCTGCGGTTTGGCCAGCGCAGCGCTGAAGTGTCAGGCACCTCACACGCTGGCCGGACGCAGCTGTGGACCTTTCAACCACTAGAACAAAATTTTTTAAATTGACAGTTGCAGAATTGTGGAGTGTTTTTACATTGATCTTTTTGCTAATGCAATTAGCACTATGTTTTGCATGTATGACTTAATAAATCCTTGATCATATGTCTGGTGAAACGTAATTTTTGAGAGCTTGAGTGGACATCCTGGCGGGGTGGGGGGATTCTTGCTGGGGCGATGAGAGTCAGATGGTGCAGGCTGAGGGTAATGGGCCCGAGTGAGGGTAGGGGTCCTAACGTGGACACTGGCACACAGGGTGACCGTGCTGGGCAGCACTCTGACCCCATGATTCTGGAGCCTGGAATTGCACCTGGGAACTTCTTAGCATTCATGTCAGTTTTTACAGTATTCCTTATTGAAGATGGTTAGATTTTTGTGTCCTTTTTTATCAAAGATAAATGTTCAGTTTGAAAATCAGATAGCTGTACAAGATTTATTAGAAAAACAGCGCCCCTTACACACACACACACACAGGCGCCATGTTGTTCAGTGCTTTTAACAGTTGTGTTATTCCACATCTCACACTTGCTCGTCGGAATTTTCCGCTTCAGTCCAGTCATAAAAATACTTGCTGTACTCACCACAAACCTGAACCAACTCAGCTGACCCTCCAGCGAGTTTTCTGAGGCTGTAAATTATCCCGGAGGAGACTGCACCCCATTCTCCCACCAGACAAGTGCAGGTGGTGCTGACCCACCAGTGGGTCCGAGGTGAGTGGCACAGCTTCCCTCACCACCTCAGCCTGGAATCTGTAAACACGGCCTGCTCACTGGCCAGCCGTTTGCTGCCCGTGTTCTCCCAAGGATGGCCGTTTAAAAGGAGTCGAGCATGAGCCAAGCCACAGTATGTTCTGAGCATCTGAAAGCTGGCGAAAGGCACAGAACACAGCATGGAGAGCTGTAGGAACAAGCATGTCTGGAACTAAGTGCAACCAGAGTTCTTCAGAGACCAAGATGGTGAAACTCTGGCTTACTAACTGTGGGGTCATATGCTTAGGTGGAACCAGTCCTTGGACAGAGACATGCTGGGAAAGGTAGAAGGTCAAGGTTCAGCTAAAGAGCAGAGGGAGACTGACCCAGTGGGCATGACCGATGGTGGAGGTGGTGCAGCAAAGGGTGAGCCTCCAGTCTGTTCACAGGGTCACCTGACCGGTAGTGTCTGGTCCTATTGTACAGGGTCACGCTGGCTGGGATCTGGAGCCACTGCACAGCACCTCACAGCCGCGTGTGGATTCCCGTGAGTTCATAAACCCGTGGTTTTGTCCTTGGACCCTCTCCAGGGGTCTGGTTGTCACGGAGTTTCCCGAGGGTCCTCGCTCTTCAGCCCATGTGCTGCTGTTTCCTTCTTACTCTGATTCCCAGTCCCTCTACTCCCTCATTGGTGTTAGATTCCTCCGAGTTTCCTGAGACGGAGTGAGCGAGGGAAGGGTTCTGAGCCCTGGATCTTGGGATGGATTCCACCTTGACAGTTGGCTACACTAAAAACGTAGCTGTGGCACAGTCTCCAGGTTTCTGAACCCCGCTTTGCCACGGTCTTCGGAGCCAAGGGACCCTCTCCTTTGCCTCATGTCTTAGAATTGGTCACTGATGTCTGGCTCTACCTGATGGACTCTTTCCATCTAGAACCCAAGTCCTTGTTTCTTGTTCTTTCTAGAACTACTTAGACATTAGTCCTCCTGGAATGGCCTTTCCCGTCTCCCATTCCCGTTTATCCCTGAGTTCGTTTCAGTGATCATGCTGTTAACGGCTAAATGCTCCATGGATTCTGGGGTGTTGCCCTCCCGGGTTGCATCATGATTTCAGTACTCTGTTCTGAAGCATAGGTGGGCTTGCTCGCTGTGTCTCCCTTTAAAGGGCCTTCCCAAACACCTGGTGACCATGAGCTGCTGCTTAGGAGAATGGAAGGCCAGCCGCTGGTGGCTTGAGGTGCCATACACTGGTGCACGCCACCTAGAATGGCAGGTCTGCTGCCTGTGCAGTTGTGTTTAGAAAAGAAACTTCAGGACATTGCCATGCTGTTTCTAGTGGACATTTCAAACCTGCAGGGACAGCCAAGGAGCCCATGAAGGCCACGTGGTGCCGAGGCTGGTCCTCCAGCTCCAGGAGGCGAAGGGTTTCTCCTGCCTTCCAGCAGCCCCTGACCCCAGCTTGCCTGCTGCCCGGGGCATGGCCTCAGCACCATGAGGCCTGTTGTCTCTGGGGCTAGTTCAGCTCTCCTTCCAGCATGCCTGGCTTTCTTTCCCCTCAGAACATGAAGGTTTATGCTTATTTTAAACGCAGTCTTTTTGCTGGTGCTTTCCTGGGGTTCTGGGTGGCTGGCCCACATAAGCTCCGCCCTGGGGCAGCGGAGACAGTCTGCTCCTATAAAGCTCTGCAGTTGTGCAAATCCAGGGGGACAGCTTTGCTCTGTCTGCCAAGAGGCCGAGTCACAGCATCATGGCGGCATCGGGTCAGGCTGTTCAGTCAGTGGGGATGCAGGGACTGGATGACAAGATTGTAAAAACCCTCCAAAAAGGCCAAGCCTTCAGAACTTGGAAAATGAACCTTCTAGAAACATCCAGTGAGGAACACAGGCAGACACAGGTACATGTGTATTTGTTGAGCTCTGCATCTACTTTACACCCACTCCTTGCTGTGAGTGAAACAAGAACTGGGCGCTGGCAGGGGAAACGTGGCTGCCGTTTTCCTGCCCTGGTCCTTGTGTTGAGGCTGAGAGCTGGGGCTGGCTGGAAGCTGCTCCCTGAAGCAGGTCTGGCTCCGGCTGGCTTCTCAGTCCATGGCCCCTGGAGCGGCTGCGTGGCTGGGAGAGAGGTCCCAGAACGAGCCTGGTCAGGGATGGGAACCAGGGGTGGGGCCCACGGGCCCATAGAGAGCCTGGGGCGGGCTGTCTGCCCCCCGTCTCAGGAGGACCAGTGGCCTGTGGGAGGGGGCTGCTGGCCTTCCTAACTGCCAGGGTCCTGTCACCTCGAGGCCCCAACTCCAGGTGGACTAGGGTCCAGATGACTCCCCCGAAGTCCCCAGCATTTAGACTGCTGAATTTATAACCCTGCTGTGACACAGGAAGCCAGGGTGCGGACTTTCAGTCACCGCTCAGATTCTAAAGGCAAAAACAGAGGTCCTGCTAGTGGCTCCCAGAATCTGGGGCTACACCATGTCCACATCAGGGACCCCTTGTGGTAAGCCAGAGACACAGTCCACTCTGTCAGAGACTACTCGGTCCAGCACTCGCATCAGGATGTCTGGCATGTGGTCAGTCAGCATCTTGGGGCCGATGAGAATCCTGCTGAACTCGGACTCGTGCGCCCACCTGGCCCGGTACTGGGCAGTGGGGCAGTAGCAGAACCTGAAAGGCAGGGGAGACAGGCGTGAATGGCCGCACTCTGGGTCCTGAGCACCAGGCCCGAGTAGCAGATGCCGCGGACACACACCTGTTTGAGTGGCCCATCTCCTCCAGGTGGATGATCCTGCCAGGAGGGTACAATGGGGGGTACTTGGATGGCGAGTGCAGCGGGGAGCAGTAGTCTGGGGACACGTGCGTCAGCAGGCTCTGCTCGCCCAGGAGGGGCTGCGTCAGGTCCCTCTGGTCGTCCCCATCCAGCTCCATCGGAAAGTTGTTGGGGTCCCCTCCGAACAGCTCGTACCAACATCCGTGCAGCAAGATCTTGTACTGAGGGCGAGATGCAGAGTAGAAGGCTTGTTAACTCCATGGGAGGCGCCCACTGGCACCAACAAAGACATGGGCTGCCCCCGGCGCCAGGGCCCCAGCTCGGCCGGGAAAGGTCTCCCAGCCATGATGCTTCCAGCGACGCTGCAAAAGCCCCGTGCCCCGCCGGTGAGGGTGTTGGGGAGTCACTGAAAATGTTTTCTCATTGAGCCACTTTACTTGAAGTGTTGTATTTCTGTCTAGTTGTATATTTAGCAACAATGTATATATACAATGTTGTGTATAATTAGCAACAAACCCACAAAATTTCTGAAATGGGTGAAAGGACTGAAAAATCAACTCTAATTCCATTAACCAGGAAGATATTTTGTGTATATTTTTTTTAGATTTTCATCAAAATGCATCCACCTTTTGTTTCCTTCCCCTGCACGGGATTACACTCTTAAGGAGCATTTGTAAGCTTGTCTGTATTTTTAACTTCATGGAATACAAATAGCTGTCACCCTTTTCAGTGACTGTATAATACTCCTCACAGACGTCCTAGAGAAGAGGCAGTCAGAGTGTTCTGTGGAGGCAAGGACGGCAACGCTTCTATCAGTACTTGGGAAATGTTGTGTGGAGAGGCTATTTCTTGAAGAGGGACATCATGCTTGGAAAGGTGGAGGGTCAATGAATGAGAAGACCCCCAACGAGGTGGACTGACAGTGACGGCAGCAGTGGGCTCCAGTGTGTCAGAGATGATGGGACGGCCCAGGACAGGACAGGGTGCAGATCTCTTGTTCACAGGGTGACTACAGCCTGTACTCAACAGCACCTAACAACAATGTAATAACTCAACAGCACCTAACAACAATGTAATAACTCAACAGCACCTAACAACAATGTAATACTCAGTACAAAAAGCAAACGTCAATCAAGCTCAGGGCATCTGAATTGATCCCAGCTCACAAATCCTAGGACAGAGCAGAACTGTCCCCAGTAGACTCTGAAGGCCATGTATCCTTAAGGAAGTTCACCTTTGGTGGAGCAGCTGCTGAGTTTGAACTACCAACTCTTCAGTTAATGGGTGAATGAATGTTTATACCCATGAACCGCCAGGGCACCTGTTCACTCACCGAGCTGATTCTAGCACGTAACGACTCTCTAGGACAGACCAGAACTGCCCCTGGTTTTCCCCAGGCTCTAAGTCCACGAGGAAGCACATGGCCCTGTCTCCCTCAGAGTAACTGAAGGAGCGTGGCCCTGCTGATTGGCACCTGAATTCTTTACCCATTGGTCCACGAGGGCTGTATCTGGCAGCGTTGAGTTCTCTGCTTCCAGGCAGCATAGCCAAGGGCAAGGCAACCCTGCTGGCCACAAAGGAGGACACGGGCAGCGGGAAGCCGGGCCGATGGGGCAGCTCCTGGACTCGTCCCCGCCCTGCCCCCACCCGAACACCTCAGAGAAGGGGACCTTGAAGCAGGGTCCCAGCGGCCCTGGCTCTGAGGCAGCACATGGAGGCTGTTCCCATCCACTCCCCACAGTCTCCCGGGGCCACGGCCCCAGTGACCCCTTCTCTGAGGACCCCGAGTTACCTTTGGCTTGTTACAGTGAGCGATCACCCTCAAGATACGCCTCTTCAGATCCTCCAAGTTGGCCACGCTTAGCCTGGTTGGAGAAGCGGGGAAGATGGAGCTCAGAACTTGAGGGGGCCTGGTGTCTGCCACCCACCCCACTGACCACTGCCCACAGACACACCTGGGGATCACATCCTTCCCCAGGACCAGGGACACCATGAAGCTCTTGGAGTATTCGTAAAGGGACTTACTGAAAAATCAGAAACAGAAAAGTTAATTCCTTTAAGTGTGACGTAGATGGAAGCTTCCCGCTCAGCATTCACGTGTCTGTTGTTGGCGACAATGACTCCTGTCCCCACAGTGTGACAGCACTCTCCCCACTCCCTTCCTGTGTTGCCTGCTCCCATCCCTCCTCTCCTTTCCTGACTTCTGAGCATTCTCCCTGAGCCAGTGCTGCCCTCTGACCTGTGGCTGACTGACCCAAGAGTGAGGACCTCGCTGGTGTTGGCTGAAAGCTGAGCCCTGGGAGTGAATTCTGTCTCCAGTTTGAAGAGCGGAAAAGTTCTTTTGATGATGATACCATCCACAGAGAACTCCAAAGACAGACACGAAGGCCTTTCTCCAGGGGAGTGAGGCTGGTAACCTACAGGCCTTCTTGTTCTCTGTCCTGTGCAGGTGAGCACCCTTCAGTCAGAGCAGCTCAGGGACCCTCCGACCAGCAGGGATGGTCTTGAGCTAATGTCTCCAACCAGACCAGGACTAGTGGTCACCCTGGACCTAGCAGGCCGTGTTCCTGGAAGCTGTCTCTCCTAAGGTGTGTGAAGGCGTGGCTGGAGGCTAGTCACAGCCCCAAACGTCCTCTGAGAAATGCTGTCCAGCCCTGAGCCCAGCTCGGCCTGCTGAGGGCCCTGCATGGCTGACCACCGACATCCCCACCAACAGGACATTGGGATCGCCACAGGGGTTCCATGCTGGTCTCTTTTACAGAAGTGGGAGTGGCTGGGGGGGCTGGACCAGCACCTACCCCACACACTATGTATAAGGTGATCCTAGCTGCCCTGCAGGTAAACTGAGTCAGAACCCACTTGATGGCTAGAGGCTGGGCTTGCTGTCCCTCAGGAAAGCTATGAGTTAGCAGCCGCTTGATGGCCATGGGCTGGGCGTGGGCGTCAGCCCTGGAAGGTAGACAAGCAGCCTGACTGAACTTCCAGTCTGGTCACATGGAATGTTCCCAACTTTCTCTCTTGCTGAAATAACAGATACTAGGAAGGCAGCCCAGCCCGTGTGCCCTTTCCCCCTTTGAAGACAAGAAGTCCTAGAGGATGGGCGTTTCAAGGGCAAGACAAGCTGGACACCTCGTATTCTAGTTTCCACTCGCAGCAACAGACACTATGGGAGCCATGGTCACTGGCCGCTAGAGAGGGGACTATTAGCCCCGAACCCCTCCCCCAGCCGGTGAGCAGGTTCCAGCCACAGCGTGGTCCCTGGCCAGGGCCAGTCCTCACGGAGGCAGGGCCACCTTTCTGTTAGCAGCCAGTGCTTACCTCACTGTGCCACTGGTCACCTGATCAAAGAGACTAAGTCACGGTGACAAGCCGTGAACGTCTCTACACGTGTGTTTTTTCCAGTGTCTCTACTGTGTACAAAAGGTTTCATCATGGGACAAAAGGTGACATGAGCCAGGCCAGGCCAAGCATGCTGACTCAGAAAATAGATTTAAAAAGGAATTTCAGGATCCAATTTTTTAGACTGAGACCCTAAGACCAGTCACACTTTGGTCTACAACGAACCGCAGCTTCAAAAGCCCGCACTCTGGGGAGGGACGAGGGATTACGTGACAGTGATGTAAAGGGGAGGTGACCCCACAGCTGGAGGAGCACCAGGCCCACGCAGGCCCACTCACCTCAGCAGCCCCCGGGGTGGGGAGAAGGCATAGCACTTGACCTGTGGGTAGGCTGTCTTGAGCATGAGAGCCAGCAGGGCCGCGGCGCCCGCCCCCAGGCTGTGCCCCACCAGCACCAGCCGGTACTCCTACAGGACAGAGGAGAGGGTGAGAAGGGGCCCGCCGCTGAACGACAAGACGTAACGTGAAGTCAAGGGGTACGCAGACTCACGGGGGCGACGCTGAACGCCTGGCTCAGGATGCCGTCGCTGACGAGTCGTCGGTACACGTATCTGGCGGCCTGAGAAATCCCCTGGGCACAGAGAAAGGGACGTCAGTCCTGACTGGGCAGGCCCCACCACACCCCGGGAGACGTCAGAAGATGGGGCTCTACAGAGGCTGACGCAGAGCTGTTGAGGACAGCCGAGCACCGCAGCAACAGCAGTCACAGACAGGTGTGGGTGCCCACTGCGCACAGGTCATGCTCAACGACACCTGGGCTACGGGCCTGTGACACCTGGGCTACAACACCCGGGCTACGGGCGTGCGACACCCGGGCTACGAGGATGAGACACCCGGGCTACGGGCGTGCGACACCCGGGCTACGGGCCTGCGACACCCGGGCTGCGACACCCGGGCTATGACACCTGGGCTACAGGCGTGTAACTCGGGCTATGACTGTGCAACACCCAGGCTATTAATGTGATGCCCTGGGCTATGAGTGTGTGAGTGTGTGACACTCGGGCTATAAGCATGCGACACTCAGGCTATGAGTGTGAGACACCTGGCCTACAAGTGTGTGACACCTGGGCTACCGGTGTGATGCCGGCCGACAAGCGTGCGACACCGAGCCTACGAGTGATGCCCTGGGCTATGAGTGTGTGACACCTCGACCTATGAGCGTGCAACACCCAGGCTACAAGTGTGACACGTCAGCCTATAAGCATGTGACCCCCAGGCTACGAGTGTACGACAGCAAGAGGAGAAAACAGGGACTGCTGTGAGGGTGACCAGAGACAAGGTTGGCGCACGCTGCTGGGGAAAGTAGTGCCACTGGACCTGCTCGACACGGGACAACCAGTCACCGGTCACACTGTGCACCGCTCACAGCCAGGCACCCGTCACACCAGACACCAGTCACAGCCCGACATCATTCACCGGGCCTGCTCCCAACTGGACACCCTCCTTAGCAGGCCTCATGGCTCCCAACCTGACCCCACTGACCACATGACAACTAGACCCCGCACATGCCAGGCCCCAGTGACACTGTTTACCGCTCACAGTGGCTCACGCAGCAGGACTGGGGACGGAAGGAGGATAGAGGACGTGTGCTTACTGCTGACCAGACTGAAATAAAGACCCGCTGCTGCCGAGCTAACGCTGACCCCGCGATCCTGGAGGACAGAGTGGAATGCCCACTGGGATCCCAAGGCCGTCCAGGGGCAGACGGCCACACCTTCCTCCTACGGAGCAGCTGGTGAGTTTGAACCACTGGCTTTTCAGTTAGCAGCCCAGTGCTTGCCCCCTGTCCTCCACAGCTCCTGTTCACTGCACACCCCTCTGGACTCGACTGGCTTCGTTACTAGAACACGTTCCTTTCATTCAGACAGGACGGTCCAGGGCCACAGAGCTGGGCTCACTGTCCCGTGGGGCCTTCGCGTGCTCAGTGAGCCCGGGCCCGTCCAGCTCGGAGCCTGTACCTTCAGGGCTGCCGCGAGCAGCTTCGCTGGAAGAACAGCCCGGTGCTTGGCGAGCACCTGGCAGAGGCATGTCTGCGGACACCGTGGCATTAAAGGGCATACTCAGAGCTGGAAACACACACACACGCACCCCTCCCCAGTGTCCCCTCCACAGAATATTCCAGAATCCCAGGGCCCCTACCTTGTGGGCCACACAGTCATGCACCTCCAGCCCCAAGTCTAAGGTCTCACTCTCTGCAGACAGGTCAGTGAGGACGTCCTACAAGAGAACACATTGAGCAGACCATCACTCGGTGTGTGGGAGGGGCCGTGTGCATCTGAGCTGACCACAGAAGGCCGTGGCCGGCAGCGAAGGGACAGGAGGTGACATCAGAAGATGGCAGCCGAGCACCCCGAGGCAGCGCAGGTGCGGTCTGCTCCGTCGGGGGAACTGCGGAAAAGGCACAGACTGCGCCATGCGCCTGGGGACGGCGCCACGTGCCTGTGGCCTCCTGGTGTGTGCGCTCCAAGCCCCAAAGCCCAGACTGGGACTCAAAGTGGAAAGCGTTCCTGCCTGAGAGTAAGGGGGTTGTTAGACGGGAGTCAGGATGCTAGAAGCAGAGCGGGGATCCAGCAAGTGCCCACAGAGCCAACGTGGCTGGGAGAGTCAGGGCACACAGTGCCCACAGAGCCAACATGGAGTCAGACTCCAAGTATAGGTGGTGGGAAGTCTCCAGTGGTCCCTGCGGGCTGACGTGCCACCGCAGGCTGATGTGGCACCGAGGGCTGACATGGCACAGCGGGCTGACATACCACCGTGGGCTGACGCACGGGCTGACGTGGCCCCGCGGGCTGACGTGCCACGCTGCGGGCTGACGTGCCATGCCATGGAGCACTCTGGGTGGGACGAAGGACAGGAGGAATCTAGAAACAGGCCCAGGTGAAAGGAACAGACTTTGCAAGGCTACATGTGGTCACTCGGCCTTCTGATGGCCCACTTCCACTTCTAGTCCCTCTTCTGTAACTTCTAAAGCAGGCAGGGCCCTGGAGGTCCAGGATTGGACATGGAGCTGTCTTTGTTCCCCAACGCCATACAAAGCCCCAACTCCACTCAGGGATGTGGAGAGATGGCCCCTGCCTGGGTCCCACCCCATAGAGTCCCCCCGGAAAGTCCCCCTGTCACTATGGAGCTGCCCACTGCTCCTTCCGCCTCCTGGCACCATGGGTCAATGTCACATTGTGGTTCACGCCCAATACCAGGGGAGACCACACGACAGTGACAGACACGGGCAGCCGAGACTTAAAAATGGGCCTGAAGAGCAGTTCAGGAGAAGGGATCCCTTGGCCCTGGGGACAGGTGAGCCCAGAGAGGGGCAAGGGCCCAGGGCTGGTGGATCCTTGCATTTCAAGATCAGGAGAGAAATGAGGCTGAGGAACAAAGAAGCAGCAGCCAAAACTGGAACATAAGAAGAGAGAGGCGGCCGCTTCACAGGAAGCGTCTCGTGGGACAGAGGCCTGGCCTGAGGAAGGCAAAGATCACAGGGTTGGGGTCAAGAAACGGTGCTTCTCATGGGGCCTGGTGTGCCCAGCTGTGTGGGGACCAGACTTCTTTAAGTCACACATGGTCCCGCTGCACAGCAGGGCAGGGGCAGCCAGGGGCCCACAGGGGCAGCCGAGAGTTGTGCAGTCCGGCCTTCCCACCTGGCTGTGGGCTCTGGGCAGAGGGTAACGTGGGCAGAAGGCTGGGAGGGCGGAGTGGGGGTCAGGGCAGGCAGGGGTCTCTCTTGCATTTCTGGCATTTCCCTGGGCTGAGAGGAGGAACATCACCTTCAGCGTTTCACAGCCCTGGTCCACTTCCCTGTTTCGTATCCCTCACTGCTCCTTGTTCTCCTCGCGTCAGGCCAGAGGAGGTGGGGCCCATCCCGCCCCCACCCAGGTGCAGCCCCCAGCCAGGCCCTTACCTGCAGTGACATGGTCCCCCTCACAGCGACCACGACTGACTCCTTCCTGTGGTCCAGAGCCACTAGAAATGGGAGTTCATACACCTGAGGGCAGAGACAACACAGGCCTAAGTGACGGGGACAGGGCGGTGACAGCAGCACCTGCTGCGGCCTCTCTGGTGGTGCAGTGCTGAAGTCCTGACTGCTAACAGATCTAACTCGAGATCTCGAGCCCTGGAAAGCCCCTGGGGCTGCCATAAGCTGACATGCTCGCTGCTGTAATTAGTGGGTGTTGCTGGGCTTCTCGATTCCTCGAGACAGAAATGATCTGAAACATTGTCAAACAGATCAGCTCTATCCGTCATCAGTCAGGAAACAGGAATGCAGAGGCGGCCGTGGCTCCTCTGCTCGCCTCAGGCTGGCCCTGAGCGGTCACTGGCCTGGCCAGGCTGGCATCAGGACTTCTAGAACGCCCCACCTCCTGCCATGGAGGCTGTCAGTCCTTATGGGAGCACATGGTTTCACCGTTCAGAGCAGAGCAGCCAGAGGGTTCACACTGCCAACTTTTGGCCAGCCCCCCACTTATTTCGCCAGCAGGGCTCCTTGAGAGTGTCCTGGTGATTCAAAACACAGCTATTTGAGAACCACTAGACCAGAGAGCAGAGCATCAGGGTTCCTGTTCCTGGCAACACCTGGGAATTTAAAAAGCTCTACCCTTCGGTCCCATTTCCAGGGTGTCTGTTCAGTCAGTCAGGCGTGGCCCAGGCCTCCAGAGATGGAAAGGCCTCCATCTGGATCCATAGGGCAGCAAAGGTCCCTTCAACAATACAGAAGAGCAAGAGGCGGACAGCTGAGGGCCGAGAAGGCATGGAGTGGACAGAGCCTGGTGTCTACAGGCTCACCCCAGTGGTCCTGATACCACACTGCCATTGACGGGGCGGAGACCAGACACCCATGCCAGATACTAGATGACCCCAGATACCCATACTGGGGCTGCTCCAAGTTCTGTGGGGAGACTGCAGTGATGGTTCGGTTCCGTTGCAGATGGTTTTCAGTTTCCCAGTGTGCAAAGAAGTACTGTTTACACTGGCCGCGGGTGTATGCAGTAGGCGCAGCATTAGGGGAAAGTCTGCAATGGTGTGCGAATGACCAGAATGGACCTCGGGGCCAGGTGGGGGTACAGCTGCCTGCATCGGCACTGACAGCCCACTCCCCACAGGCCACTGCGCACCTGGTATCCGTGAGAAACGGGATCCACGAGGCATAGTGACGCAGCGTCTGCTGCCAGGGTTCCTCAGCTGCGTTAAACCTGGGGCACACTGGCCCCGTGGACATGGATGGGCTCCAGGGGCGTCTGTGGACCCCCCAAACCGTATGCAAACTTGAGGGGACTGTGTTCTGGTTCACAATTTCCATTAGAGTAACAAAGGACCCCCAAGGGACCAAGGGAAGAAGCAGCATGGATCTAGGCGCAACCTGAAGCGTGTGCAGAGGGGGCCTCCGCTCACCTTGTCGTGGAAGCTGATGTGGATGAAGTCCCGGTACTGCAGCCCCGTCGTCTGGAGGATGGAGCCAAAGTGACAGTTGAGCTGGTCGCCTCCAATGAGGTCATATTCCGTGGTTCTGCTTCGGCAACTGGAAAGGGGGAGACGTGTCACTGTACCAACCACAGCCATGCGTCAGGGACAGCACACCCTCACTGTCACCCGTCCCCAGCGGGCCTCGGCCACTGGGACCCGGTCAACAACGCCCAGCGAGCCTGCAGGGCAGAGCCCAACCGGCCCCAGGTTCCACGCGGGCGATCTTTGCAGACACACACTGCTACATCTGTCTCCCTTGGTGTGGCTGGCAGGTCCAAACCGCCAACCTTTCCGTTTGCAGCTGGGTGCTTTAACCACCATGCCACCAGGGCCCCTGAAGGGCCTTTACCAGCCAATGATTCCTCTATGGGCCCTTTTTACCAGAGTTTTGCTTCTGGAGTCACTTTAATTATTACACAATTAAAAAAAATATATAATCAACAAAGATAGGAGAGGACCCCTAGGGCTGAATGTTAATAGACATAAATGAGCCAGACCATTTGAAATGAATATGAAAGCTGCATGGAAAAGAAAATGCTAAAAAAGGAACCAATTCAAGTAACTGGAATGCAATCCGCTGGGTTTAAAAACAGAAAGAACTGACCTCTCATTTCCTTTCATGGAGGGAAGTTCGTCCCTTTGGGGATGTAACTTTCTAATAAATTGATCCTTACTATTTTACCCTCCAAAAAAAGAAAAGAACTGGAAATAATTCCACCACCACGAACCCATACGGTCTGTGATAGTATGGGGAACAAGAGCCTCACAGTGCTGGGTGTAAACTGAGGGGAAGCTGTGAGGGCCGTGCTTTGAAAGCACAAGTCATTCCATGGGGTGAAGATGAGGCGGTCTGTTCCCGTGAAGATTTCGGGAGAAAATGCAAACTGTGCTCACGTCCATGGAGGGGGTTCCACCCACACCCACCCTCTACTGCATTTCCGGGGCTATAAACCATCCAGGAGAGCGCCCATCTCTACCCGGTGGAGCTGCCAGTGAACTACCAGAGGTCTGTGACATCTCACAGACATCTCAGCCTTGGACATTTGCAGGAGGGCTGCCGAGAGCCGACATGGAATAGAGGGCAGTGGGTTTAATTTTGTCTTGATGCGGTACGAAGGAGTGCTGACGGCGCAGTAATTAAGCCCTGAACTGTGAACCCTAGAAGATGCAGCAGGAACGCATCAGCCGCTCAATAGAAGAAAGATGCCATCTGCTTCCATAAGGATTCACAGTGCTGGAAACCTTACGGGCAGCTCCGCTCTGTCTTACTGGGCTGCTATGAGCTGGGTCTGGGCACTGGCTGGGGTCCTAAGGACTCTGTGAGCCCCAGGTAGCCTCCTGCTGAGGGGTGCGGGGTGCTCTCTGCAGAAGCAGACACAGCAGAGGCAGGAACAAGCCCTGTGCTGGAATGAGCAGGCGGTGCTGTGAACTCACAGCTTCTCAAATAAACAGACACTGGGCTGACACAAGACATGGCTTGTTTCCCCAGCTCTGTCCCTTGTGAAGACCCAAAAGCCTGGGTGTAGCACCATGCAGGTTTTGGTTTCTAAATGCCATAAACCATTGTAAAGGAAGAGTACACCAGGGTGAAATGATCCCAGGGAAAGTACAAGATAAGCCTGAAACAGCTCAAGTAAAAAAATAAGGAAGTCCTCACCCTATACCAACCAACCGTACCAGCTCAAAGTACAGCGTCTGTTTGTCCAGGGACAAAGCACAAACGGCAGGAAAGGGCCAGGGAAGGAGGAAGAGTGGAGATGGGACACACAGGCAGCGAGTGGGAAGAGGATACCCCACTGTGGGGACTGCAATCAGGGTCACAAAACCTGTGAGAGGGAGCTCTGGTAGCCTCATGGCAAGAAGCTGCACTGCAATCTCAGAGGCACGTGGTTCAAATCCACCAGATGCTCTACTGGAGAAGGAGGGGCAATCTCCTCCTGTACCTGTCAGATCTGATTTGACGCTACACACACACAAAACAGTAAAATAAAAAAACCAAAACAACACAAACCAACAAAACGTGTGTGAGCTGTCGAAAGGAAAACACATCTGCTCTGTCAACTCTCACCAAATCACAATAAAAATTGTGAAAAAAGAACAATAAGGAAGTGCTCAAAAAAGAATGGGGATGTAGAAACAGGACTCAACAGGCAGCTTGAAGTGCAAGGAGTGAATTTCCTGATCGTAGAACAAGGAGTGAGCTAGAACCGACTGACGTAAGCGCGGCTGCGGAGCCACGCTGACAGTAAGAGAACCGGGAAGAAGCCCTCCCCGCAGGACGTGGACTCTGGATGAGGACATGAGGACTTTTCCAACAGTGCCACCTTGCAGCCATCTCCACAATCACAGACAGGAATCACCGGCAGACGCTGGAACTCCGTTTGGAGAGTGCCAGGGTCCTTACACAGTCTCAACGTCATCCCTCAACCTGACTTCTTATTTGCAAAAGGGAAGAAAGAGAACTCGTGTGGAGCAGCCTGACAAGCGTGTTGGCCAAGAGAAAACGTGCCACCGCGGGCCCATGACGTGTGTGCAGGGGACGCGACACTCCCCCCACTCAAGTCCCTGCCCCATGGGTCCAAGTCACACCTCAACTTGAAATACCAACATGCAGCCGCACAAAACAAGGAGGCCAGGACCTTCCAAACGTTAGCGTCTCGGGGGAGAAAGAGATGGAGAGACAAGGGGACAAGTGTCCAGGGGGAGCTGCTATCAGGGACACCCCCGGGCACCTGGACAAATGTGCGTGTACAGGGTGCATTAGCCAATGACCAGGGTGACTTCCCTGACCTGTGGATGTGCCCGCTGGTCACGCGAGAGCTGAAGCCAGCCTTCAGGAACATGTTAGAGCAGTTACAGATTAGGGGTACGGCATCGGTGACAGGACCGTGGTGGTGGGAGGGGGCGGAGAAGTGTCTGCAGAGTGACACAGCACACATGGCAGGAATGAGTCACAGCCCGTGACTGCGGGAAGAGCGTGTGGGAACGGCATGTCTGCAATACTCCAAAATAGAAAGTGCTCCTCCTCTCGGACGTGCGATCGAAGGGCCGAGTCCCCAGGGAAGGTGGCGAGTTGGTCAAGGAGGGTGGGGAAGAGGAAGCCCCAGAGAGAGATGAACTGAGCCGGTGAGGTGATGACCATGGTCTGGGCAGGCCAGGCCGCGTTTGTCCTGTTGTACACGAGACTGGAACTCATCTGATGGCACCTGAGCACAGGCCAGCCTGGGGGGGCTCGCCGCCGTGGCCACGTACCAGTCCCCGCCGATCTTGCACAGCCCTGTGAAGGGGTTCCTGTAGATGTAGAGAGGCCAGCCGTAGGCAGCTGCTGCAAACTGCATGTAATGACGGCAGTTTTCTAACTCTGCATCCAGATCTGTCTCCTGGAAGAAAAGCGAGATGGGCGCATGGCCACAGAGGATCTGCTCCTTAAAGTGAGGACAGCAAGGGTTTGTGTCGTGTCCTCTGGACACGTGGTCAGGTAGGACGAGTGCTAAGGGAAGGACATCGTGGTAAAGGAGGGGTTAGTGAAACAGCATGACCCTCAGTGAGATGGGCAGTCACGGGGGCTGGATTGGGGGCTTGTGTGCGGCAGCAATGGTGAGGCGGACATGGGACCCAGTGGACACGGGGCCCGGCGAGGCGGACATGGGGCCCAGTGGACACGGGGCCCGGCGAGGCGGACACGGGGCCCAGTGGACATGGGGCCCGGCGAGGCGGACACGGGGCCCAGCGAGGCGGACACGGGGCCCAGTGGACACGGGACCCAGTGGACACGGGGCCTGGCGAGGTGGACACGGGGCCCAGCGAGGTGGACACAGGACACAGTGGACACGGGGCCCAGTGAGGTGGACACGGGGCCTGGCGAGGTGGACACGGGGCCTGGCATAGTCTCGTTCTGATGCTGCTCAACACCGTCTGCCACCCTCATCACAGGGAGCTCGGAGCCCCACTTCCTCGGCTCCCTCCACGGGGAACAACCCAGGTGAACTGGGCCCTGAGCACAGACTGCAGCCAGCTCGGTGTTGGACAGGAAGTCAGCGATGGAGCAAGTCTGAGCCATAGTGCCCGACGCCGGATGACATCCTGCCTGCGTGACGACCTGCCTTCTAAAACCAGAGAATGACTCTCCACAGAGCCCACGGTTCTCCCTCTCCAGTCCCAGAGGAGAGCCAGACATGCGGGGACCTGGGTCCCCGCCCAAAGGGACTTTCCTGGCAGGCAGCATCTAACTCGCCATCCTGCTTGCTAAAACAGAACGCATCCCAATGTTTCAAACACTATAGGCGGAGAAGGGGCAGGAAAATGCCCCACTACCTGAGCCCCGAGGGATGAACGGGAGGATGGCACCCCACTACCTGAGCCCTGGGGGTGAGCAGGTTGGAGGTTCCCCACTGTGTGAACCCCAGATGAGTGGGCAGGAGGCAGCCCACTACATGAACCTTCTGTGAGGGGAGATTCCTCACCTGACAAGTGACCCACTACACCCAACCACCTGCTGGCGCTGCACTGCCCACTGAGCGAACAGTGACTCCCTGTGACCTTAGGGCAGCTGTCCTTGGGGTTTCCAAGGTTGTGGTCTTCATGGGCACAGACTGCCTCGTCTTCCCCCACTGTCGCCCACTCACTTAGCACCCCAATATTTAGCCCACTGCCCCACCAGGATTCTAGGACTACAGCCAACCGAAGCCGCAAGTAAGATCCTAGCCTGGATGCCCAGGCATCGACTTCCGGGCGAGGACAATCAGGAGCAGACATCGGCACCACTTACAACCCAACAGAAACAGGCTTACCTGGGAGGCCTCTGGGGAGTGGGTGACCACCTCCTCGGGCTCCTGCCTGCTCCTCATGTTGTCCTGCTGCTGATGGAGAAGGGTGAGGCCCGCTGCTATGTCGCTGGGCACCAGGTCGGTGTCCTGCATGGGAACCACAGACCTCGTCAAAAAACTCAGCAGGAACTAGAGTCCCTGCAAATTCGATTTTATAGAATCCAGACACAGACACACAGACACACAGACACACAGACACACACACACGGAACTTAAAGCAACACTATTCCTCGCAGGATTCCTTCTATACCCCTCCCGCCCCCCCCAAATCCAATGGAGGATCCAGGGGCCGCGGCCAATGTCTCCAAACGAACTGAATGAACAGAAGCCAAATTGCTCAGTAAACTTCCACCCAAATCAACAGAAAAAGATTCTGAAAATCCATTGGAGACCATAAAAATTCTGCTGATCTTTTTAAAACTTTCACTATGCTTGTTTTATTCTAATTCAGATCCTTTGCAAATATCAGGAATAAATGGATATATTTTGTCTTTGTAGTCAAGGCCAATTTGAGCCTATTGTGATACTCTCGTTTTTCAAGCTTCTGGAAAGATTTTGTTGAAACAGAGCCTGTGGCCAAGGTGGGGGGATTCACGGGGGACCCCAGGAGTTAGCGCTGCCTCCGTGACCCACACCCCCGCCCTGGGAGCCCAGGCTCTTGTACACAGCGTCGTGGGCACAGGGCTGGCGCAGGGCCAACACACTCATCTTGACAAGAGGCTGTGACCTGACAGGGGAAGGGCAGACCCCTCGGCTTACTGAGAAGTAGGCTGAGAAAAGCTCGGCCGTACTCGAAAAAGCAACTCGAGTATGGTCATCGTCGCCCACGCAGCAGCACAGGAGCTTGATCCTCGTCTCCCACAGGCTGGTGGCGGCTGTCCTGAGGCCACTCAGCAGCTGGCCTGTGTCAGGGCTGTCCAGGTGGTCGGGGCCAGCAGAGGCATACAGGGCCAATGGGGCCATCTTTCCCCCAAGTGGGTCAAAAACAATGAAGATGGTGACGATGGTGGAGGCGATGATGAGCCAGCTGCAAAAGAGAGTGGGCAGGCCTGCTGACCAGGGATGGGGGCCTGCTGACCGGAAGGGGGGGCCTGATGACCAGGAGGGGGGCCTGATGACCAGAAGGGGGCCTGATGACCAGAAGGGGGCCTGCTGACAGGGAAGGAAGGCCTGCTGACCGGGACGGGGGGCCTGCTGACTGGGGAGGGGGTCTGCTGACCGCGGAGAGGGCCTGCTGACCGGGATGGGGGCCTGCTAACCAGGGCGGGGGACCTGCTGACCGGGGAGGGGGCCTGCTGACCGGGACGGGGGTGCCCTGACAGGGAGGGGGGCCTGCTGACAGGGAGGGGGGCCTGCTGACCGGGGAGGGGGCCTGCTGACCAGGGAGGGGGGCCTGCTAACTGGGGAGGGGACATGCTAACTGAGGAGGAGGGCCTGGTGACCGGAAGGGGACCTGCTGACTGGGGAGGGGGCTTGCTGACCGGGACAGGGGGCCTGCTGACCGGGAGGGGACCTGCTAACTGGGGAGGAGGGCCTGGTGACCAGGACAGGGGGCCTGCTGACTGGGAGGGGACCTGCTAACTGGGGAGGAGGGCCTGGTGACCAGGGATGAGGGCCTAGTGACCAGGGAGGGGGGCTTGGTGACCAATGAGGGAGGCCTGCCGACCAGGGAAGGAGGCCTGGTGGCTAGGGAGTCACCATGGTGAACAGGGAGGCCTGTTGACCGGGGAGGTGGGCCTGGTGACCAATGGGTCCTGGTGATGGGAGGATCCTGGTGACTTGGACGGCCTACCTAGAGACTGAGGCCTGGTGACTGCAGCTGCCACACAGGTGTGCAGCCAAGGCCACTCTCTGCTTCAGCTTCTGGCCCGAGGCTCCAGGACCAGGGCAGGTGTGGTTCCAGAGCCAACCCTGCAGCAGCTCTGTGGAGGCTGCACTGCATGGGAGGGGCTGCCTGTCTTTCTCCTGAGCAGCAGCTGGTGGATCTGAACCCCCAGAGGTGCCACCTTTGGGTCAGCTGTGTAACTCCCTGCACACTACACCACCAGAGCTCCTGAAGCCTACAACTGAGCTGCCAAAATGGAACCCACTGCTGCTGAGTCCACTCCAGTCCACAGCGGACGGCAGGACAGAGCCGGGGGAGCCCTGGGCTGCCAACCTGTAAACCTTCACAGAAGCAGAACGCCATGGTATCTTCAGGGGAACAGCTGGTGGGTTCAAACCACCTATCCTTCAGTTAGCAGCCAAGTGCAAGGACCACTGAGCCACCAGGGCTCCTAGTGACAGCTGGCAAGGAAGAAAGCCACAGTGACATGTGCATAAGGGACGATCACTGCCTCCTCCTGTGGGAGGGAGTCTGCAGACCTGGGTCTCTAACCCTGCAGGAGGGCTGTGCTGTGGGGGCTTGTCGGGGAGCTTGGTGCACCCCCATCTCCACCACCCCTGTGGTAAGGTGACACCGAGCAAAAACAAGGCCTCACCTGATCACGACGGTGGCAATTACGCCGCTTACAACAGTCCTGTCACAGTCCACTCCGTCGGCCAGCCAGGCGGCCCCCAGGGACGCCCAGACCACCTCAGGCAGAAAGAGTGCAAGGCGAGCGTAGAGCAGCTTGGCCATGGACTTCCGCGGTCCAGGGTTGCAGATGGTTCCTGAAGGACAGGGGGCGGTCAGAGCGGGCACAGGGAGTGTAACCCAGGCCTGTAACCACAGGCCTCCCTACGTGAGAGCATGAGGGATTAAACACACCTCTGTGCTCTAATAGATCTGTCCAAATGGGGCCACTTCAGACCGTCTCCAGGGAACCACTAACAATCCCACGGGGACACAGGTCTGGAGGAAACAGGACAGAAGGTCACCCAGGTTCTGACCTCCAGGAAAGACAGCTCCATCAACCACTCAAAGCCTCAACCATTCCAGGTGCCTCTCCAAGCACATACCCACCATTGTTCCATGACCTGCACTAAGCCTGCAAGGGCCATTATTCCCATTTTACAGACGAGGACAACAAGGCTCAGCATGCTTAACAGCTAGCTACTGGCTCAGACATTACCTGGACCCACGTGGTCCCACCTTCAAGAAGCAAACACTCCAGGGCCCTGCAAAGAAGCCCAACACTCAGATACGACAATTTCCAGGTCAGGCAGACCCCAGTTCCAGACCACAATAAAGCGAATACTGCAATAGATGCAGACCCTCAACGGGATGGACTGACACAGTGCCTGCCATGACGGGCTTGAGCAGAGCAGGGACTGGCGGAGGGAGGGTGAGGGTGGGGGGCTACGAGGTGGCGCCAACCACACAGCACCTAACAGCATACACCACACTCTGCTAAGCGGGCAAGCACTCAAACACCTGAAATGTGGGAAGAATGACCAAACGCGACACCATGTGAGGACGTGATGTCACACTCACGCACACACAGAGTGAGGACAAGACTTGATGCATGCACATGCACCAAGAAAGGGCTGTTTTTGGAACAATGGTGCCAATGGACTTGCTAATACAGGGTTGTTACAAATTTTCAATTTGTAAAAAACAAAGTATCTGTGAAGTGCAGGTAGCAGGAGGTCTAGTGTGTGTAAAGGAAATCCCAGGGCAGCCAGAGACCTACACCTGCTAGTTCTTCACAGAAAGCACTGACTCTGCAACAGCAAATGATGTTACTAAGTATCTATGAATGACTATATCGAAAACCAGTAAGATTTTTAAACCCTCATGCAGTTAAAAATTAACAAGTTTAAAAAGAAAACGTTGATAAATTTGAGAAATACTAATTTAAGTAATACAGGATTAAAGCAAAACAATGCCGGGGAGTGGGGTGGGGGTGGGGGTCTAAGAGCTAAAGGTTAGGTTGGGAAGAAGATGCCTTTTCAATTCCAGAAACCTGAGTCATGGGGTGACTGGGTTCCAGGCTGGAAGGAGGACTGCAGACCTTAGTCTGGGGGGGTTCTACTAGTTCTCTCTCAGACCTACAAGCCCAGGGTATTCTCTATGATTTATAATTCTGTTCCACAGTCGTCTGCTCCTCCATTGAGACAAAATTCAAAGTCACCAATAAAAATGGGCTTACAGAGTACACGGCCCATGGGCCTTTACTGTCACTGTTTAAGACATGTACTCTGTGTGCTGTGCCAGGGAGCTGATGACTGCTCGGCGGAAGGCTGGCTGTTTGAATGTAGGAGCTGCTCCATGGAGGAAGGATGAATTGGTTTGCTTCCGTGAAGGTGTTAAAGGCCTTGGGAACCCAAATGAGCAGTTCTGCTCTGTTCTACAGGCCTGCCTGACTTGGAAGTGACTCAGGGGCCATGGTTTTAACTTGTTTCTTCGTGTGTGTGTGTGTGTGTGTGTGTGCTGGTGGGTGCATGTGCTGGTGGCTATGTGTGCTGGGTACCACACCATCACACAGCTGACAGCTCACTGACTTTACATAAAGACTCAAGACCCCCGTGCTGTGTGTGTGGGGGCCACTGCTACCTTCACTGTGTCCCATTCTCTGAGTGGGAGTTCTGAACTATTGTCAGAATATCCAGGGACGTATGTTCAGTTAGGCTGTCCGAGCAGACAGCACATGGCACATGATTTTAACTATATATATATACACATTATACAAACACTGTCTGTCTGTCTATAGTGTTGAGATACATACACAGTCGTATGCATATATTAATGTCCACGTGTTTACTCACATATTTACTCTGTGTTTACTTACACAGTTACTTTTGCCCAGCAAAAACATCTCTTCCTCTCAACAAATCTTAAGACAAACTCCAGACAGACTGGCCAGCGTGGACTGGCTCGGGCTCAGGCGTCTTGATGCCGACAGCCCTGTAATTAAGGAGCAGCGAAGGCCAGGTCCTGAACGCAGCCTTCCTGGAGTGAGCCGCCCCTCGCCAGGCACAGCCAGTTACGTAAGAGCAGCAGATGGGTCCCCTGCTCCACAGCTCGAGTCTCAACAGCAAGCCTGGCTGGCATGAGAGGAGCAATGAGCTCAGGAGACACACGCAGAGGAGAAGGGAGGAGATGGAGGACGCTCAGGCCTCAGCATGCCACCCAGCAGCCCCTGGCGGTTGAGGACACTCCTCCATAAAGCAGAGGCTTGTCACCAGGGAGGCCCAGCCCAGGGGAACCTCCTGCGATGTGCTCAAGGCAGAATGAGAAGCCACTGACAAGAGCAGATCATCTTCCCATGAAGAGCTTTCTGACCACACCAAGCGGAGGAACACCCACAGACCTCCCTCTCCTGCAGACCTCCCTGTTCCGGACAAAGGGGCGTCCGCCAGTTCTTCCAACAGGTGTAACCAGCGTGGTCTGGAGGATTACCAACCAAACGCCAAATAAGCACAGCCTTTTCTCACAAGAGACACACTGATTATCAGGATGGATTCGGAAGTTAAAGGGCAAGGCAGGGCACCCATAAATCAATGGGTGAGATGGGCCACAGTGCCAACAAAGCAAAGCCCCACTGCCATCGAGTCGATCGCACTGCAGCAGCGACCCTTCCCATCAGCAGCCAGGCGTGTAACTGTGTTACTTCAACCAGACCTAAACATAACGATCTATGACAGACAGACTCACTGACATGGGGTGTGGAAGGGGATGGGGTAGGTTCAAGGAGCTGAGGTAAGTACCAAGGACCACGCAGCCGCTCCCTCAGCCCTGGTTCCAGTCCCGTGCCCTCCACTGGAAGCACACCACAATCTTCTCCCAGGATCCTTCCAACACAACAGATCATCTATACCCTTAAGAGAAATGTACAAATTACACCACACTCCCTGAAAAAGTGGGCCGAACCCTCCGCTCCTGGACCTCCCAAACTCAGGGGGCCTTTCTGTAGGACAGAGACTGCTCCGCAGGCCGGCAGGGGCTGCTGATGGAGCAGACGGCCTCACCTATCTCCTGTGGAGCAGCCGAGTACTCGGGCCAGTGCGCCACCAGGGAATCACCACGGAAACCATCACAATGGAAATCATCCCTTACCGGTCCCCCGGGTGGCATTTTCTCCTCTGAAATGAACCCACAGTCCTGGTCACAGCGAGCCCGAGGCCTCCCAGTGGGCACGCACTTGTGTTTCTCTGTCTGTCGTTTTGACAAACACTGCCGTGAAGATCCTATACATTCCTTCTCTGTCCATGTGCAAACACACAAAAAAACCTGCTATGCAGAGCACACACATGCGTACAAAACTGGACCCTGAGAGATTAAACTATCTGCACCACCACCAAGAAAAGCCTGTTTCTACACCCCATGAGCTTCGTGTCCTCACTGAATGACTTTTCTTACTGTGACAGAGACCAGACATGCTTCTGATCTCTGCAAGGTGTACGCAGCTGACCGTGAACCGTCTGTCCACGTTCGCCCATCTTCTCCTGACCACTGGCCTGCGGCGTGGCTGCTGCTTTGTTACCCACCACAGCTGATGCAGATGCGTGTGCCGAGCAGGATGGCTCTGGACCATCTTCTAGGCTGCCAGGCTTGGCACAGGAGGTGCCTTTGGGAGGGGCTCACACAGCCAACCTCTTGGCTTGTTGCTGCTGTCAGGTGCACTGAGCTGACCCCGCAGACGGGGTCACAGTGGAGACCAGCAGAACCACCACTGGGGTTTCCACACGGTCTGCCTCCCGAGATTTCCCAGGTCCTTCTCCAAGCGCTCGTCCACACGCTCCACCCAGAGATTCCCCTTCATCTGCAGAGGCCTTTTTACATCAAGGCGATGAGGTTTCGTCTCATGTATTTGAAACATTTTTCCCATTTGCCCTTTTTAAAAAACTTACTTTAATTTGGGTTATGGTATTCACATAATGTTTTTTTAAAGGCTCATCCTGTAAAGCTTTGTAACACATTGGCAAGGAAGCCAACATGCTTTATGAAATAAATACCGCTTTCTGTTCAGCTGGGTTAGCTCTAGACCCTAAGAGAAAACCAAACTCAAATTAGTTTAGAGGGAAAAGCGTAGAATGCAGTAAGGGGTTTAAAAGGAAGAATGGAGGGGAGCTCTGGTGGCCTAGTGGCAAGAAGCTGCAACTACAATCCCAGAGATGCACGGTTCGAATTCACCAGATGCTCTGCCGGGGAAAGAGGGGCAATCTCCTCCTGTACCAGTCAGAGCTGATTTGACGGTACACGCACACAAAAATAATAAAATAAAATAAAAAAAAATAAAAGGAAGAATGGAAATGGGAAACACAGAGGAAGAGCAGGAAGAGTGCTGCTTGCCCCACTGTGGGAAATGAAATGCCATCAACACCAGTCCACAGAATGGGTGTGACTTGTTGAATGGAAGATTTATCTGCTAACCTTAATCCAATCCTCTATAAAAAGCTTGAAAAAGCAGCCAACAAGAAAAACCTGATGTAGAAGCAGGAAGGACAGGAAGTCCAGGGCCAGGCCAGGGGCAGGTTGCTGTGCCCAGAAGACTGGCTCTGTCCTCCCGGACCCTGACTGCTCCACCCCCCACACCAAGCCTGGGGTCTGCGTGGAGACAGCGCAGGTCTGCACAGCAGCCAACACACAGAACCACACGCTGCTTCTGGATCCTGCCGAGAGGAGTTGGAGGAGCCTTCCCAACATCACCCAGCAAACTCTCCCTGCACTTCTCTGGCCTGGGTCAGGTCCCACGTCCACGCCCGGACACTGGGACAGTCCTAGAGTGGGCCACAGGACCGCCTTCTTGGACACACCCCGAGATGGGAACCGTGGTGAGGAATCAGAACAAAACCAAGTTCTACGTGGAGGTGGTGGCGGAGAGAGAAGCAGTGACGCTCCTGGGACCCGTGAAGCCTGGCTGAGCTAAGAGCACGTGCTTTGTGAGTGTTAGGTGGGAGGCACGGAGTGGACACGTACCCCTGCCACAGGGCTGCGCCTGCCCCGGGACCACCACCGTTTGACAGGAAACAATTTCAGGGAAAAAGAAACCTACACTTCCTTCTTCCAGTCTGGGTCAACCCTTACAGTGTTCCAAACCAGAGGGGGAGGGGAACAATGAGAAAATGAGCTAATTTTGGGTCTGAAATAGGAGCCTTGGTGGTGCCACGGGCTAAGTATTGAACTGCTAAACACAAGGTTGGTGGTTTGAACCCAGCTGTCACTGTAGAACAGACGAGGCGATGTCTTCCCAAGAACATGACCGCCATGGAAACCGTGTGGGACAGTTCTGCTCTGTCCTTCAGGGTGACTCAGAGCCTTGGTCCTGATCGGAAATGACATCAGACTCGATCCTTCACCTCTCAGAAAGCCTGCCTCCACCCAAAGACCCCAGAGCGCCAAATCCTACGTGGACAGGGAGCTGCGGCCTCTCCTTCAGCATCCGGCACCCAGGACAACACAGATGTGGGGATCAACACTGATCCCAGACCCCGTGGGTTCACGTCTAGAAGGGACACGACAGCCCAGCAGAGCGCTTTCCTATCTGCCCCCAGAGAGAGTGGGCACCCCGTGCTTCCTGGTCACCTCAAACCCTCCGCTCTTCCTCTCCCAAGAACGCTTTCTCAGGCCGCCTCTCCCTGTGAACTGAGGTTCCTTGTACATTGAGCCCATCAGTCCAGAGTCAGCACCTTGATTCCTGCTTGCCTGCCACAGCCTCCCACTTCCCTCCTCCTCCTTCTCCTCCTCCTCCCCTCCAAGGCCTGGCTCCCACCTGCCACGCAGGTGCGGGCAGGGCCCTGAATGACCAAGATGGTGGGACCCAAGGCGGTTCATCATCGATTACCACACACATGCCCACGTGACCAGGGCCACCCAGGAAGGAGGTTCCCGTGACCTCCAGGGACGGTCTCATGTTAACCTGGTCACCAACAGCCCATCACCGTGACTCAGTAACTCTTACCTTTTCATTACAAAAGGACCCCAACAACCCAATCTAAAAATGGACAAAGGGCTGTGGGTGGGTTCTGACTGAAGGGTACACACCACAAACAAACAAAAAAATGGGCAAAGCTTCCAAATAGCCGTTCCTCCAACTATAACAAACAGATGGCCTGAATTCGGGGACAGGTCAACCAGGGCCGAGCAGACCATAGCCACAGTGAGGTGATCGACTCACCCCCGAGAAGGCGACGAGCGGGAGTGAGAGAACAGGTATAATGAGGCTGTGAAGAAGCCAGAGCCTGGACCTGCAGCAGGCGCAGCAAAACCAAGCCCCTGCCTTCGAGTTGCCTCCACTCCCGCCCACGGCCGCCCTCCCCCAGGCCTGAGGCTGTCACTCCGTGAGCAGAGACGGCCACGGTTTTCCTGCTGAGCAGACAGGAGACCAGATTTGGTCAGAAGCGCAACACTTAACCCACTCTGTCGTTGTTGCTGCGTGCCATCAAGTCGGAACCGACCCACAGCTGATTCGCCGGCAGGTTTGCTGAGGCAGTAAACCACCTGGGAGGAGACTGCCCCTCCTTCCCAAAGAGCAGCAGATGGATTTCAACCAAGTATCTTTGGGACTGCAACTGAGCTTCATACCTCTAGGCCATCAGAGCTCCCTAGCTCACTATGGTTGTTGTTGTTATGTGCCGTCGAGTCACTTGCGACTCACAGCGACCTTATGGAAAACAGCTCTAAGCCCCGCTCTATCCTGAGCCAACCTTACTGTCTCTGACACACCTACCCCCATGACCCTCCCAGTCACTGAGTCAATCCATCTCAATAAGGGTCTTCCTCTCCTGCGCTGTCCCTCCACCCTCCCAAGCATGATGTCTCTTTCCAAGGACTGGTCTCTCCTTGCAACAGGGCCAAAGTATGTCAGATGGAGCTTCAGAGTCTTTGCCGCCAAGAAGCAGCCTGGTTTCACCCTGTCCAGGATGAACCTGTTTGTTCTCTTAGCAGTCCATGGTATATTCAATACTCTTCTCCAGCACCGGAAAGATTCTCAAAATATTAAGCACAGAATTACCATGTGACTCAATGATTCCCTGGTACACACGTAAGAGAAAGGAAAAGGTGTCAACATAAAAACTCGTACACAGACGTACGTGGCAGTGTTAAATCATAATTTCAAACACCGGAAACCACCCCAGTGTCCATTCACTGAAAGGATAAAGCAGCGTGCTCTAAACTGTGGGCTTTCATTTAGCCAAAAGAAGAATGAAGTCTGATTTCTACTAAAGCAGGATGCTCCCCGAAAACCCCATACTCAGTTTACAAGAATCCACCACTTCTATACGATTATCCAAGCCAAGCGAAAAACCCCAACCAATCCACTGCCCTCCCATCGAAACAGCAGAACTCGCCAGCTCTCCACTGGTTTTCAAGGTGGTAAACCTTCTTGGAGGAGAGGCCTGGCCTTTCTCCCACAGAGCTGAGGGGGGTTCAGCAGCCTGTCTCTTAGACAGCAGCCTAACGTGTAAAAAACACCATGCCCCCCCCACCCCGGGCTCCTCCGTGCCACAGGATGTCCAGAAGAGGCAAAGCCAGACGCAGAAGTGAGAACAGTGGGTGCCTAGAGCTGAGGGGCCAGGGAAGGACTGGGGGGTGACTGCTAACAGGTGTGATGACGTAAGGGAAACAGTATAAAATGACTATAGGGTTGGCTGCACAATTCTGTGCTTTTACTAAAACCACGGAATGACACACATTACGCAGGAAGGGGGTGGTCAGGTACCATCATGTCAGGTCTCCCTCCTTGGCACTGACCTCACCTTACCAAGGACGATGTCTTCCTCAGGGACCCTCCTTTGACAGCATACCCAAAGTGTGTGAGACGAGGTCTTGAGGTGGACAGTACAGTACAGTACAGGACAGTTCAGGAAAGGGACCCAAAGCAAGACGTGAACACTAAGAGTTGGGGCCAAAGAACGCTCGCTTTTACCTTTCATGCTGACACACACGATGGCCGACACGGCGCAGATGACCAGCGCCAGGAGGACGAGGAGGACGACGAGGTAGCTGCGGAGGAGGGCGCCCCCAGCGCAGTCCAGCTTCTCTCTGTGCATGAGGTACAGCGCCAGGATACCGACCCACCTGCGGGGGAGACAGTGTCAGACCCAGGGCCGCAGAGCAGCTCTGTAAGACGCGAGTCAGAGGGACGAACGGAGTCAGTCCTCTCCCAAACAAGGCAAGGCACACTCGGGAACATAACTGTCAGAAAGAACAGATCTGTGCCTTGTGGTTCAAATTTCAGCCATGCCTGTCAGGTGAACAGTACATGAGGGTGGTAACTCGCTCCTTAGAAGAATCACATGAGATCAAACGGACAATATGTGCCCAGACAGACAGGAAGGGACAGACTGCACAGACAAAAGGAAATGAGAATCCCAAGAAGGAAGAGGGATGAGTGCTATTACCACACGGGTCCTGCAGTCTATGCATAAAAGAGAATCTGAATGGATGAATGAATGAATGGGCAGTGGGTTTTCTCTGTAAATGTCCACTCAGAACACAATAAAGAATTAAACTAACATGAAATAAAAAAGGAGAGGACATCACACACAGCTCTATGACCCCAAAAGAACAGGGGGGGTGGGAAATGTGGACTAGAACTGAAACCCTTAAGAAGTCCGGACTTACTGGGCCAGGTGAGACAGGAGCAATGCTGAGACAGACACCTTGAGATACTCTCTAAACTCTGAACCCAAACTAACCCAAGGTCCACACACAGCGAAGTAACAGACTGGCATCCACCTGTGAGTCCCAGGCTCTGGTGCAAACCAGCTGCACGACACCAGAAGGTCAGCAGGGACCCTGAGCAATGAGAGACACAGGGGGCAGGGATGGAAGAGAAACGCCTGGACAGACGCAAAGGGCGGCCAACACATTACAAAGAGGCCACGCCCCTGGATGATCTGAGCAGCAAGTGTCAACCAAAAAAAAAAAAAAAGAAAGTGTCAACCGGGAACCCAATTTTCTGTGTAAACATCCACTGAACACACAACAATTTTTTTTAAATTACCAATTAAAGAGCATGCTTTATTTTTAATGAGCTATAAGAGTCTGTGCTTACATAATATACTTTCACGCCTGCTGTAATAACAAGAGGCATTTTCAACCAAAAACAAGCAAGTATGACGTGAGCCAGGGAAGGGAAGTGCATCCTATCAAGACTCAGAAATACACAACCAGTAAACCACGGGATAACACTCTCCCTCTGTTACTAACCAGAGTGGGTTTTACATCTGTGGATCAACAGAAGAAGCCAAACGCTCAAAAACTGGTGTCCTTTAAACCTGAATAACAGGCAGCAAGCTGTGCCAGTCTGTCCCCTGGTGAACACGCATCACCTTCAAAGGGCAGATACTGTGTATTTTGTAATTTGGTGCAGAACAAAGAACAGCATCCAACAATGAAAGCGATGAGGGACCCGGCCGTCGCTGGAGCTACGAGGGGGCAGAGTCCCGCCTGGCAGGAACCCAAGAATCCAAACCCAGAAGTAGAATGAGACCAGATAAGATTTCATGGGATTTTTTGTGATAATATTATGACTCTGTCTAGAAATAATAACAACACATAAGCAATCCTCCTTTTGTGAACTGTTCCTCCCTCATTAGCATAAGCTCACTGCTCCGTAAGCTCCCTATTCATCTTTCAAGACGCTGTTGCTCATTTGATCCCATGTATCATTTCGGGACGTAATCTGGATAAAACAGTTCATTCAGAATAGTTTCTCAGTCATGCCTGTGAGCAGGCCTCTCTGGCGCTGACGCTGACGCTGACACTGGCCTCTGCCCTCCCTGGCCAAAAGTTACAAAGCTCTTTACTTATCCTTGGCCTATAAACCCTGCTGCAAGGCTCAGTTTTCTTGCTCTGTGGGAGAGCCCACAAGTGCCCTGGAGGCATCTCACTCAGCTGGGAGGCCCTAAGGCGTGAAACCTTCTGCACCCACTGTAACCACATCTTCCAGGCTGGAGAGCTCGATGCACCTGGTTTTGCTGCCTCACTGTCATCATCCATGCCATGTTCAGTGGGACAGCTTTCGCTGCCTGGCTCCTGAGTCCAAGAGGTTGTCAGGGTAAGGATGAGCCCAAAGGACGCCCTCCACTCCCAGTTCCTCTTTCTGGTGGTAGTGGAGTCCCCCGTTTGCCAGTGGATGGCTCATTTCAAGCCTAGCAGAGGTCAAAACTTACCAAGTCCCACATTCTCAAAACAAACTCACTGCCATCAAGCCAGAGCAGATTCGAGGCTGACCCTCCAGCAGGTTTCCAAGATCGTAAACTGACCAGGAGGAGACTGCCCATCTCTTCCCCCTCAGAGCCAGAGGTGAACTGGAACTACCAGAGAGACGCGGCCTTTGGGTTGGCAGTGCAACGTCCTAGGGCACCAGAGCTCTCTTCCTGCATTGCTGCGTACCAGTAATTCACAGCTGACCTCCCAGTGGGGTTTCAGAGGCTGTAAATCACATGGGGGGAAACTGCTCATCTTTCTCCCTCAGAGCAGCTTGTGGATTCAAACCACCTGTCTTTGGGTTGGAAGCACAACTCCCTGACCGCTAGGCCACCAGAATTCCCCTACTTAGGGTCCTATATATCTCATTTACATAGCCTCACCTCCATAAGAGTGTCATGTACCTTATTTGAATTATTATTAGCCAGTTCTCCAAAATCCCAGGCATAGAACAGCATCTTACTTGCACAGCCCCACCCGTTTGTTATTTGGTGAGAGTCACAGACCATGGTAAGAAAGGCCATATAAAAGTGATGCATCACAAGACCACACTATTGACTGGTTTAAGGTGGATTTCCTAATATATTTTTATTTAAAAGTTTGAAACTCTGGGAGTTCATTCAGCCTCAATGGCTCTAAAAACTTTGTACATACAGGTTTGAAATTCTGTTCTGCATTTTCCCCTTTTGATCAGAATACTATGGAATATTTGTTTAAATGTATAGTCACAGAAATGCTCGGCTACCAACAAAATAAAGAAAATATTTTTTAAAAGAAATGTTCTGTAGTGGTAACTGGGCACCACCCAGAACAATCTACTTAATAATAACAACAAATATGCTATTTCTGACCTAGACCCTGCAGAAACAGTTTATTATGCCAAGTATCAGTTTGCCACTGTTCCCAAAAAAAGGCTACTTTAAGGAAGTACACACTTCCACTTCCAAAGGCAAAGTCTATTCCAAGCCCGTCTGCTTCTCTGGAAATTGAGCACCACCAAATAAACAAAGAATCCCAACCTTCATTTTAGGCCCAGGTTACGCCGTGGATTAAAGCATTCAGCTGTCCACCAAAAGGTCAGCAGTCTGACCCCACCAGCTGCTCGGCCGAAGAGTGACCAATCCCCTTTCCTCCTCTGTCCACAGGCTGGCTGAGTCCACAACCGCTGGATGGACAGAGTGGGGTTTGGGGTGGTCACTGTTTACAAGCTTTCGTTTTGCATCTGGGAGATGATGATGTGTTTTTGTTTTCCTTCGGAGGGTCACGCACAGCTCCGGCCTGGATCTCAGTGCTGCACTCGGCAGAGTGACCGCGTCCTGCAGCGCGGACACCCGGACACCTCCCCTCGCCAGGCCTCAGTTTCCCATCTGGGTAAATGCGATGGTAACAGTAACTGGGGCGATGGGAGTGGGAGAGACGGAGACAGCGAGACTGGCTGTGGACAGGGCAGGGAGGGGTCAGGGCTGCTGGACACTCAGGGTCGCTATGAGTCGCAGGACACTCGTTGACATAACAGCGGCAGCAGCACTGATTTCACGCGATCATGAGCGAGACAGGAGCATGCAAGGCCGGCGCGGGTCACCGTGCCAGCCGGCGCCATGGTCACTGGGACCAGTGGCCGCTCGCCCCCACCCCTGTGCCCCTTGCACTCTGACCCGTCCGCCGCACTTACCACAACACTCGTAAAAACAGCTCGAAGAACCCTGGGAAGACCAGGTCGTCACTGGCGATGGCCCAGCGCCGGCCAAAGAGCACCAGCCCGGGCATGGCGATGGCCCCGCCGCCTGGCCTCGGGCCGGTCAGCCCAACACCGCAACCTCGAACCCGGCGCTCGCGGCTCAGCCGCCGGCCTGACCGCGGCACTGCGCATGCGCGCCCGTCGGCGGGGAGGCGGGACGACGCACGCTCACTTTGAGGCCTCGGCGTGGCCTCCCTTCGGAGAGAGCGCATGCGCACTGCGCGCTTCTAGGCTCCCACAGCAGCGCCTGCGCGCGTCGACTTGGCGGTAGAGGCTGTGAGCGCGTTTAGGGCATCCCGGAGCTCAGTATTTACCTTTTATAGCCGAGGACCCTGCAGACCGGAGTGCAGCACTCCTGCCCAGGGCTGTGAGACGCGGGATCCTGTGACGAAGCTGCCGCCGCTCTGTTCTTCGCTGCACCTTGCTATATAGCCCAGGGTCTGCAACACTCATTTGCAGTGTTGGGGGTGGCGGGTTCGAACCTACAAACTCTCGAACAGGCCTTCGTCAGTGCCTCCTTCTCAGGTTTGCTCCCCCTTCCTTTCGTGCCTGGATGGTCTCCTTCCTTCCTGAGCCCCACCGTCCCCCACAATGCTGGCCAGCACAGCAAACGCGGTGACTGGCTTGCACCTGGTTGAAGTCTGTTCAGCATCGTGCAGGCCTTTTCCCTGGAAGTGATGCGCATTTGTGAGGGCGTGTCTCCCCTTCTCTCCCTGGGTCCCTCCATCACCCCTTGCTGGACCCTCTTCCCCCTCCTAAAGCACACGAGGCTCCCTCTCCAGGGCTTTTACGTTCCAGGTTGTCTCCGTCAGAATCCACCTCCCACAGGTATTTCCTCTTTGTTTGTCATAGTTTGACAGCTTGACCAAGAGGGGCACCAGTTCATTAGATTTCCCCTTGCCAGCCCGCCGCATGTGTTTTAATAACGACTTTCTTGCTTTCCCATGAACTGAAGGCTTTTGATAACCAACTGTCACCTGAACCTTATCTTGGCAAGTTCTGAGAGGGATCATCTAGTCCAGCTGGGAGATGAAACAAGAATGCTCTTAGTCTTGTGGTTCTATTTTTAGTAATCTTTGTCACTCTGTTAAATTTTAATTGTAGGTCTCACCCTACAGTGTATATGCAATCCCCTGGATATTTCTTTTTGGTTGAAATTTATGAACAAGTCAACTGGCAGCACACACCAGGAGGTAAACAAACCTGGCCAGTATGTCCTTTGTGCAAGTCTAATAAAATCTTTCCTACACATTTTGAACTGGCTGGTGGGCTGTGTTCTAAGAAAGAGCCTATGTGAAAATTCTTTCCCTGTCTTTTGCCCATTTTGTAATTTGGTTATCAGACTTTTTCTTGTGGAGGCTCAGGAGTATTCTGTAAACTTTTGTTAGAAGACTCTTGTCTGAGATGGTGTTACCAAATGTTTGTTCCCAGTCTGTAGTTTTCTTTTCACCCTGTTGGAAAAAGTTTTTGATGTGTACGGAGATTTAATATTTACAAGGTCCCATGCATCAATTTTATCTTTAGATTATGCATTTCTAGTTGTATTTTGCAGTCTCTGAACCTTGGACCAGTGCTTCTAAGCTTGACCCCAGTTTGCCTCTTAGGAAAGTTACGGTTCTGGGCTTTACTCCCAGATCTCTGATCCACCTTGATTTGATATTTGTGTGTGGTGTGAGATGTGGATCCCGTTTCAGATTTCTGCAGGTGTAAGCCCAGTTTTGCCAGCACCCTTTGTTGAAGAAATTGTTTCCCCATTTGATAGCTTTGATTTCCTTGTCGAATATCAGTTGACCAAAAATATCTGGGTCTATTTCTGTGTTTTCACAGAGGAAGATATTCAAATGACAGACACATGAAGAAATGCTCCATATTACTGGCAATCAGAGATGCAAATCAAAACCACAATGAGGTACCATCTCACTCCAGTAACAGTGGCAAAGTTTGACAGCAAATAATAAATGTTGGAGAGGATCTGGCAAGAAAGGAACTCTTATACATTGTTGGTGGGATTGTAAAATGGTAAAACCATTCTGAAAGGCAGTTTGGTGCTTTCTCAAAAAGCTGAACATAGAAATTCCATATGACCCAGCTATTCCTCTACTTGGAAGACACCCTGAGAATATGAGAACTGAAGCACAAACTGAGATTTGTACACCAATGTTCATAGCAGCATTATTCACCATTGCAAGAATATGGAAACAGCCCAAATGTCCAACCACAAACAAATAGATTGAGAAATTGTGGTACATTCACACAATGGAATACTATGCAGGACACAGAAGCAATAATGTTGTAAATTATTATCTAACTTGGGAGGGACTGGAGAGCATTATGCTGCGTTAAAAAACCCAGTCCCACAAGGATAAATATTGTATAAAACTGTTATTGTTGAATGAGTATAAGGATCCAGGAGGGGTGGGAGAGGCTGGAAGCAGAGGGATGTGGATGTGCAGGGGCAGGGGGGATTAATCATTGAGTTGTACAGTTTGATGGATGGGTGGGTGGGTGAGGGAAATTGAATTTGTTCGAGTTTGTATTTGAGTTTTGTAAATAAACTAAGGGGGGGAATAAAGCAAGGAAGCGTGTGTGCACACACACACACACACACAGCCTAGTTCTGGGTATCTGGATAATACTCTGGATATAGGTCAAGTGCTACTACCTCTGACCTCCTCCCTGATTACCTTACCAAAAAGAATCTTATTTTTATACCCTGAAGTCTTGTTCTTTCTAAGACCCCCATAGAAGAATTTCAGACTTGGAAAATCTTGGCACTTGTTTAATGATTTTTAGTAGGTACTTGTAACGATCCCGTGGTGTCATGAATTAAGTATTACATTCCTTAACACGTTGCTGCACACTTTTAAATTGACGACGTGCTTAGAAACATTTTTATTCTTACCGTCACTTGTGGCAACATGTTAACTGAAAGGTCCATGGTTCAAATTTACCAGTTGCTCCGAGGGAATAAACAACAGATTGACATTCCACTTCCTGGAAAGATAGACAGTCTTGGGACCAATGGGACAGTGCTCTGCTCTGCAAAGTCAGCAGTGGTTGGAGTTACAGTGTTCCCTATTGTGTGTATTGCACCAGTTGCTTTAATTCTAACTCGTGGTAACCTTAGGTATGCAGTTTACTCTGAAAGGTTTTCAAAGCCATGACCTTTGGGAAAGAGATATCTAGGCCTGTCTTCCAAAGCACCTCTGGTATGTTTGAACTTCCGTCAGGAGGCCTGCACCTAATTGTTTTTATCATTCAGATGCTTGGTATGTGCATGTTGCTGGGGGCCATCGACGGCACTTTGCCGTGTGACAGTAGAACTACCCTTGGAGAGTATTCTAGGCTATCTTTACAGAGGCAGACTGCTGTCGTTCTCATGCTGGTGACAGAATGACATGTTTGCTTTACTAAAACTCGATCAGGTGACATTCTACTGTTATAGAAAGTATCCTCGTTGATGTACAGAGGGATTAGTTAAATACTGTGCTTAGACTTGCTTTCAACTCAGAGAAAAGATTAATTGCTTCAAAGTTGGCATACTCAACCAAGGCCATACTAGGCACCGTGCCTTGCGCAGCCCCTAGCGGGGCTGTTGTTGCATGAGGCTGAGTGGAATGGACTCGTTCCGTCATTCTCAGAAGCGGTAAATTTCCAGGGAAGGGATCACCAATCCTCCTGTGCAGCAGTTGGTGGATTTGAACTGTGTTCTTTTGGGATTGCCGTGCAACTTCTTACCACTAGCCCAGCGGAGCCTGGGGGTGGGGTGAAGACACATGGAGAATATGGGCGTGGTTTTGGGAGGTCCCTAGGGCTTTCTGTGCCTCAGTTTCTCTCCTAGGAGCTCCGGTGGAACGGTGTGTTAAGCTGCTCCGCTAATCCAGAGGCCACCCTTCTCTCTGGCAGTTTGAACTCTCAGGGACGAGATGGACACTCTGCTCCCTTGTCATTTACGTCCTTTGAAACCCAAGAGGGTCACCCTGAGTAGCCTCCTCCTCAAAGGCAGTGAGTGCGAGGGTTCCTCAGAAGGAACTCTGCCGGGTATAGTATGTTACTTGGGACTGCTAACTGAAAGGCCAGCAGTTCAAATCCACCAGCTGATCTGTGAGAGAAAGTTGAGCAGTCTCCTGCCATAAAGATTTACAGCTTCAGAAATCCAGTGGAAGGTTTCCTTCCATGAGTCCAAACCGACTGGACGGCAGCGAGTTTAGGGTGTTGCTCTCGTAAAGGGACGTCGATGGCACAGTGGTTCAAGAACCTGACTGACTGCTAACTCGTGGGGCAGTCAGCTGTCACATGGGGTCACTATGGGTGGAATTACCAGGCGCCCAACAGCATTCCTCTCTGGAGTGAGTGGTGCACACCCAAGTACTGCCTGGAAGGGATGTCCCAGGTCCACCCTCAGGCATTCAGGAAGCAGGCCTGGAGATCTACTTTCCAAAAAAAGCCACTGAAGACTCTCCAGAGAGCAGGTCCACACTGACGTGCTTGGACCATCTGCTGGACACAACAGGAGGGCAGTGGGCAGCATTGTAAAGGTCAGGCTAACCCTTCTGGCAAAGTCTTTGCAAACTTTAAAAAATTTTTTTGGTGGGGGACACTTGTTTCTCTGCCTATTCCTCTCCTCACTACAGATTATAAGGGAGCAAGAAGCTTTGACTAAACTGGATAGGACATGCTGGTGTCGTGTCATTGACTGGGCACATTTGTTAAGTTTGTTTTATTTCAGTTCACACATTTAAAAACAAAAAACTGCACAAATAAACACTTCAGTGAAAAGTCTTAGTTACCTGATAACCTTTATTCAGGAAGTGAAAGTAACTAAGAAACAGTGCTTCATAAGCAGTTTCACACGAGGCGGCTGTTTCTGACAAGGTTGGGGCGCTGCCCTGGTCCCCGCCCTCCAACGCCAGCTTAGGTACTCTCTTCCTCATGAATCTGGTTGGCCACAGAAATAGTGGGGACATCTTAGCCGTTGTTGTTCTGACAAGGACAGGGGAACTGAAGCACAGGGCTCTGGGCGGCAGGG